ATAATTAAAAACTTTTCATTCAAATAACATTTCACATTAATAACTATAGATAAAACATTATATTCTTGCTAATTGATCATTAAATACCGTGTAATTAATCAAAATACATTTCATTTGTAAATGATAATTGATTTTTCTCAAAAAATACACCCCTCGATTACTGGGAATGTGAGTGAATAAATATTTTGGCAAGTGGCATTCTCATTTTCCTCTAATTTCCATCATTTTTCGCCCATTGGCGGAAAATTGGTGGCCAGCTGAGCGCGAGAAATATATCAAATAACTGAAATAGAGTCTCTCGCAATGAAAATATTTATATTCCAACTCGAAAATTGTGCTGAAACAACAAAAGAGATGGAAAAGCGAATTGCCAGTGTCACAACCAGGCGCCTCCACTTGCGATGGAGACGCCTGGTTGTACTCTTGTCGACCTATAAATTCATTCTCCGCACTCTTTCCATCGTCATTCTACGGTGTCGCATGTTTTTTTACCGTGAAATTGCTAGTGAATAGCTTGACTTCTGAACATGTGTCAGCTGAGGGAACACCCTTAAATTATTTCGTCTTTTTTTCTATTCTCCATCGATATATTGACTTCTATTCATAGATTCGCAAAAGTAAAGTTTAGCAGAACACATTTGGAACACGTAAATCCATTAAATTGCTGTAACTGAAGAAAAAAATGTCAAATAAACTTTGAAGTCAAGTAAATATTTGCAATCAGATCTTTGCTTAAGAGTTAATATAACACTCTAGCGTCTGGAATAGTGAGAAAGGTATGTAAAATGGCTCTTAATCTTCATGTATGAACATGAAAATGTGGAGATAATTTGAGCCCATTGTGGGATTAACAGCAAACAATTTACCACACTAAATCCCTGGTCTAGTGAACCAGCATTTGCATAAATATTTACATACTCTCGTGACTTGGGAAACCCACCCTTTTGCCATATCCGAATCTCATGTGGATCACAACAACTTTCGCCCAAGAGTGTATCTCGAAAGTTATAGTTATTTGATAAACATTACAAGCTTGCAACTAAAACCTTTTAAGAGTTTCAACTGAGTTTCACGTTGATAGGAAAGTTCTTAGGGGAAGAATTAGTGCATATTTCGTTATCAAATTCCGCACTTTATTCAAAAACTTTCACCATTCTTTATTCACTTAAGAGATACATGAATCTGAGGAGAGTTTGAAGCCTTTAACGCAAAAATTGAAGGATAATAGCGATTGTCAAATGGTTTCTAATCAATTTTTGCTATGCGCATTTAATTTTTCCGAATGAATTCTAATGGAAATTCTGTGTGAAAAATCTGAAATAATGCTTATAGTGATCCTTTTATGGCACTTTCCTCCCGTGACTCGTCTTTCGAGGTCAAAGTACAGGACGAGCAAAAAGAAAACTGTGACAGAAGCACGTCGTTCACGTAAAAAGAAATGTTCTGAAAACACCATCATAGAACTAGCAATAACACTAATATCATCCCCCATTTTTACCCTCTTTCGCCGAAGCACTCTTCTCTCGTGTCAAACCATCGCTGCGGATGGGCGGTGGGTGGAGAGAGGGAGAGGGAGAGAGCATATTTGAGCATTGAGATTTTCACTCTATAATCAACTTTATATATTGAATTGCACAATGGGAATATCTACTTGGGGAGCAGCAGAGAAAGCTTTCAGATGATGCCAAAGGAGCTCCGTTATCATCGCAAGTTCACACACTTTCGCCACATAAACATGGATAACTCACATACGTTCGCGACATAAAGTGCTTATTCACTTTTCCACCCAAACTCCCGCGATAATTGATAAGGAACTGTGATATCTTCATATATTGCTTCTTCACTCGGCATTAAAATAAATTCATTGAAACTTCAGCTGAATCCATCTTCCACCTTCAGCTTTTGCGATACGTAATACACCAGAAGGAGCACAATTGATATACGATAAGACTTGACTTGAAGTGTTGTAAATAAAAAGTTAAACACTGTTGGAAATCATTACGTATTTCCAATGGGAATGAAGGAATTTTCATTTAGAAGTAGTCGCGAATACAATTCATAAATAATTGGCACAAAGACTCAACTATTGCAGGTGTCAAATAAACTATATTCCACAGAATTGCACGTCAAATGAATGAAATAATGCATTGGTTATTAACATTGAAACCGCACTGGTGGACTTGGTTCTTTGATTTTCGTATATTTGTATCATTTTAGTAAGAGAACAGAGGTAAAATACACAGTAGAAAATTATAACAGACAATGGCAATGAGGCTACACAATGTGATGGTGGTTTTCATCCGTGATCCAACTGTGTTAATTATGTTTTTGGGAGAATGTTTGCGCACCACCTGGCGATATTACGGACAAAAGTGCAGAAGTGAGGAGACAATGTGCAAGGATTGAAAGTATTTAAATGCCGAGCACGTGCGGGGAGAGCTCGTCGTTGGGATGTGATGGGTAATGTTCTGGCTAAATCACATCTCTGCCGAGAGAGAGAGAAAGAGAGAGAAATGAGGAAGGACTCTTGTGTATACATTTCCGGGAAATTGCACAAAGCACGGGTAATTTTAAGGACTTTGCCGCAGAGTCTGCAGAAGAGAAGCAGTGATGGGCACGTGGAGTGACTATGTGGGAATGTGTGTTGTGAGTGTGTTTTGCGGTTTGCCATTTCCGCATTCGCCAAAGAGTTGTATAATTATGCTTTTGATAGATGATCTCCTTACACATGAAGAGGTTTCTTGGAATCCTTCAGAACATCGTGTTTGGAATTGCAGTGAAATTCTTACTAAATTAAATAGTTTTTTTTTTGAGTAATATTTTAAAATTCTGCTTTGTAAATTGAGAAAGTCCAACAAAATCATATCCAAAGTGATACTAACTTGTTGCTGTGGGAAATTCTCTCGGCAGCAGTCATTTGGAATTCTTCTTGTATGTCGTCTTAGCGAGACATTTGCCAATTAACAACTTCCCCTCACTTCTAATTAGTGAGAGGAAATAGGAGATTTCCCCTTGGAAAGCCTTGTAATCCAACAACAGAAATACTCACTCACAAAATGTGAAAACTTTCTCGGCTTTTGGGCGCAATTTTCGGGAAACCAGCTAGAAGCATAAATTACTGACTTTTCTCTCCTTTTCCCGCCACTAATTTCTGCAATTCTCAGCATTTGGCTTCTTCGGCGACAAGGAAGGGCTTCGGCGTCAAGACAGTGGATGGAAAAATCCACAATCTTCGTTAGACATGGAAGAGGGAATTTATCATTAGTGGAGATTACTTGCCATGGTCGTAATGAGGCTGGAAAAAGGAAGGGAAAAAAGCAGTGAAAAATTAATTATCTCATTGTAATTTGAGGCCAACTTAAGCACAATTTGCTGTCTAAGGCAAAGCGTTCGGGGGATTTTATTGCATTAAGTGGATATCATAGAACAAATACCCTTCATTTCAAACTCCCTTCGATATTGATGCTTATCCGTTCGAAAAACTCCTCACTTCTGCGGTGCACGTGATGGAAGGAGTATAAATTGCAACAAATTATACGCCATTAGGATGGATTGCTTATTCTCATGGAAGACTATTATGATTTTAATTGGCAATGAGCCAGAGTTATTGAGAAAAGAGGTCAGAAGATTCCTTTCTCTCTAAATAAACAATTTATATAGACAGAGAAAATAAACAACTTCTCTGTCAGGATCTTAATCCGGATATAGCATAAGTTATTGCTGATTGTTGTGTCAAGTAGACTTAAATATCAATTCAAGAATTGCTCCTTGAATGGAAATTTGGCGACACGCTCCACAGAAAGAAAAGTGGCACTGTGGAATTGTTTTAATTTCTTTAATTGAAGGTATAAATACTAATGACAATTCTCAAGGAGGCGAAACATGAAAGAATAATTTCCACCTCATTTCACACGTCAGCGCCTGGACGGTGATGAAATGGTGTGAAAGCGTCATAAAATAATCGTCACAATTTTGCAAGATTTACCCACCCATTGTAATTCACATTTTCCAACTGTCGCATTTAATATGCGCGCAAAGAGTGAAGAAATGGGATTGGAGACACGAGATGAAAAATGTGTGAGCTTGAGGAGGAAGAGCTACGAATGAAGCCGTATAATTTGTTTAAGAGGGATTTCTGTTTGTAAAAATCGTGACACGAATCAACAAATCAACCATACAAAGAAAACTCCTCGTGATGTAACTTTAAAGTGGAAAGCTTGTTTGACTTGCAAGAGTGAGGCAGGGAAATAAATTTTAAAAATGTGAAAGAGGAGGAGTTAAAAGAAGCCAATATTGAATTATTGGTCGGAAAGATGAAAGTGAAAATTGCGAGGCTGAAAGGAGCAGAGAGAAAAAATTCAATTCAGCTTAGTAGATAAATTTGTGGCATCAATTTAGTATGTCTTTTCAGCTCTTTCTCCCTTTTATCACCCACTGGCTGATTGTGTAGGCGTTAAGGCAAGGTGAAGACTGAAGAAAGTGATCAAGGAGAATGCCGAGTCCATGAGAATTTGCATAATCGACTTATGAGGCTTCTGCGGACGCACAATTTACCATGAGAATGGTTTCTATTGGGGGAAAACATTGCAAAGCAACACATTTTTCATTATTCTGAAAATCACTTTATCTTCATTAACAATAAATAATAAATAATATGCAAGTGCTAAAGTGGATAATTTTGTAAGTGAATCAATAACCGAGCTCATTAAAATCCGAAGGGGCGAAAAGTTTGCAAATTGAATGGGACTTGCTTCCTAATAGATACAGCTTAAGTGCCTGCCAAATTCACTTTTCCGAGAGCTTGGCTCAAGTACTTCACGGGAGCGATGTCGTCAAAGCTCAAAGCTCAAAAGAGCTTACAAGTATTTTGCACTCTCGAGAAAGTTTTTCCTCCTTAGATATTCACTCCAGTGCTCTTCACTATGAGATTACCTTTCCGACAAGCTGAGGAAAACTCTGTGCAGCAGCAAGAAAAGTGGGAAGAAATGAGAGTCCTTCAGTGCATTTCAATAAATTTATTTGGAAATCAAATATTTTTTCATGAAAATGTTTGCTAATTTTCACAGAATTTTATCAATGATTTTTCTTCTTTCTAAATCATCGCATAAATTCACAAAAAATATATATATAAAAAAAAGACATAATCTTTCTCAATCATCATCATCATCACTACCTCATCCAATTAAAGATGCGCTCTATTTGTCTCTCACAATATCTACAGGAAGAAAAAAACAACTGCTCAGGGATAAATTAATTATTTCTTGTCGAGTGGAAAGTGTTAAATTTTTCACAAAAATATCTTCATTTCTCCTCCCTCGCATAATTTCTCCTTAATAATGTAATTTAAACCTTTTTTTCTGGAAATATTTTCACACTTTCTTACTAAATTCATAGACCTTCATTTTTCTTGATTTTGTATAGTAATATTTTGTATTCAATAAAAATCCTAACTAAGATAAAAGGCGTTAGAAATAAAGGAGTCCACATCTACATATATATTCCCTCTCTTTCTATATATATGTCAAATCAAATTGGCAATTGACTCTCTTGTTTTTTTTTTGATTCTCTTATCGTCATATTCACTCATCAAAAGGAAAGAAGAATAGGCAAAATATGAAAAATGGTAAGATATAAGTTTAGAAAGTGACCCAGAAGATCGCCAAGAGCGGTGAGTGGAGAGGAATATTGGCCAATGTTAGTCTTCGTCCTCCTTCCACTTCTCCCGCGCCTCGATGCGAGCATCCGGAACAAGCTGATTCCGCACACCGCCCAACACGTTGGTCGTGGCCTGAGTGGCCAACACGATGGGCTTCACCATTGTCGAGGGAATCTCACGCACCACCGCGCCCACGGCGCCCGTGTAGCCCTTCTGGTCGTGCTCGAGCGCCGCCACCTCCATGATCGTGTGCACCGTCTCGCCAATGCCATCGCGCACAATCTGGTATGCATTCGCCACACCCTCGCGTATGTCCTGCGGTGGCTGCACGCGCTTCCTCTTGCTCTTCTTGTAGCCACGCACACGGCGCACGGTTGGACCCGGCGACACCATATCGTAAGCCGTCTCTGCCGTGATCTGCAAACAAAGTGAAACATTTTACAACACTCTTCATCATAAGATGTTAAGTAAAATTGTACTACATAAATTCTTGCACATTTGTAAATTGCAAATGTTCAGTGTTAAAACAACAAACCACATTGATCCAATTTTACGCTATGCATGCACAAATCCTGAGATAAATTCATCTTTGCTCACCAAATATGCTCTCAACTGAATAAATTTCCTAGAGTAATGGATAGAAAACAGCACTTCCTTTCATACTCCAAAGTGCTTCCTTAAACATAAATATTGAATATGTTGTCACGTACATATTCTACCTATTTACATTACATTGTAAGGAGTCCTCCAAAAAGGGGACAAAGTAATTACTTTTGCAAAATGTATTTAAAGTTTACCGAAGCGGTAAGAATTCAATCAAAAATCAGAATAATTCCAGGAAAATTAATAGATAGTCCAACTTTTCTATCAAACAACCCAAAAGGATCAAAATTCAACCTTTCTGCACAGATAACCCTTGTAATTTGGCCTTCCAACTAAAATTCCCAAGGAGAATTGGAAAATATGTATATGTGAATCTATTAATAAATTTTCCAGAGCAACTAATGCGTGGAATTCACATGAGATTTTATCCGTCATTCCAAGAAATACCATCAATTTCACATAAAGCTCCACATATTGAAAAAGTTTTCCACTTCATTTCACAAACATGCAAGAAAAGGCATATTTCCACAAGCTATACATATTACGAGAGAACACCCACTTTTCTAAGTCATCTCACAAGAATTGCGAGAATTGCCGTCATTTTGCAGAAATGCCTCAATTAATCTTCCTGCACTATGACGCAATGCTTTGAGTAGTGCACAAGAAAGTGGCAAAATCTCCCTGTTTCTCTCTCTCTCTCACTCACTCACCTGAAGCAAATGTATGAGGCGTGTGGTAATTTCAAGAGCAGCCAATGCTGTTCGTGCCGTGAAACTCTGTGCACCACGTTGCAAACCACGCACAATTTGTCCATCCTTCTGATATTGCTCAATTGGCAGCCAAAACAAGTCACGAATTCCTTGAACTGAATAAACAAGCAAACAATCAATTTAGATTAATCTCACCAATAGGGAAGAAATATTCTCTTGTTTACTTACACAGTTGTATGAATGAATGCATTGGTCCCACACCGCCCAGGAGCGATGGCAACTGATTCCTCTTGATGTCCTGCAGCCACTCTTGAAGGAGGAAATTAAGTAGCTTGTCTACGCCGAGAATTCCATTTCTGCAATGCGAAATAACGCAAAACAACGAGGTGATTATTATTGGTGAAGGGATTGTGTAACAATGTAAATTTCAAAATCATTCTCAATTCAATGGCAAATTCCCATAATATGTATATGTATATATATATGCCTTATCCCTTCCATTGTGCCCTGTTGGTTCATTAAAACCAGCCCTGTTTTGATGCCAATTGACCCCAATTGCAACTTATACTGAATAGGATTTTGGAACAAAACATTATGTGCGCATAGTGCTTTTAGATAGAAAATACAATAGCATCAATAGTTATTCATAACTCACTTGTGGCAAATGCGCTTTAATCGGATCTCTGAGCAGTGCAGCTGCCCAAGTCCCATCAGAAGTCCCGCCAGTGGTCCTCTAGACAACTCCACACGCTTCCCCTGGTAGTCAATGCGGATCTTCACTTCAGGACTGAAGGAGACACTCCTGAAGTAGATGGGCGAATTGTCCTCCGTATCCGCTGTCGTTGGTGTGGTAGACTTCTCTCCCTCATCCTCCATCAGGAGCATCAGATTCTCCGAAACCATCTTGCGCGCCTGCAATTCCTGTGCCGCCTCCGGCAGATCCACCATCATGATGGGCGGTGGTGACATGGATGGTGGCGCTTGACGCTGACCTTCCTGCACAGGAGGAGCACTGTCCACCCCACTGAACTCCTGGAAGAAGTCCACGAGGAAGAGAAGTGAATCCTGATCAATATTGAGCCGCAGCGGCAACATGGAGACACGCAGACAACACTCCTGTGCTGGCAGAGAGAGATCTGAGCGCAGATGCAGAGCCTTAATCACCAGCAAATTGGCACGTGACTGGTGAGGCTTTATCAGGCCACTCGAGGGATGGTAGAGGAATTTGTTGATGTTCGACACAGCGAGTTTATCCTTGATCTCCAGATCTGACACAAGGAGAACCTGTCTCGACGCTTGCTCCCGATCACTCGGATACACCTCATGGGAGAAGCGAACTTTGTGCAACTGAAACTCCATCAGAATATCGTGTCTTCTGTGAGGACCTCCACGAGTCTTCCAGGTTAACTTCCCCGTCGGTTGATGGTGTCGTCGAAAACTCCCTTCAGTCATAGTCTTGCCCTCAGCAGCATACGACACTCCGAATTTGTACACATCCGACATGGGCAGATAAGACAGTCTGTAGTTGTCATAGCTTCCCTCCTCACCAAGCGTTTCGTCCCTCTTTGGCGCCACAGGAGCATTCACGGCAAAGTCCGATCCACCAAAAATGTGCCATGTGACAGACATTTCGCACAATGTGTACCGAATGACAGCCATGGGGAAGCCATGAGGCGCCTGCAGAAGATCTGGCTTCCTATTTGGCACACTAAAGTGATTGTCAACAATCCTAATAGGATCCTCCGTCACTGCCACCTCATTCTGTCCACAGAAAATCACACGCTCCTCCTCGGAAATGAAGCAAAAGTCATCATCTGTGCCCGAACTCAAGTTCCTCATGTGACCAATGCCTCTATGCTGATGACTCTTGGACGGAGTTGCTATATCACGACGTCTCACACTGCCCAACTCCTTGGCCACTTGTGGCAGTGCCTCCTCCACCTCAATATCAATCTCCGGATCAATGTTCGACGCACCACCACCCATCACAGACGACTCAAAATCATACAACTCCCGAATCTCTCCACTTGTGATGCTCACACTGTCCGGAGTGGATTCCTTGAGGGACTTCTTGGGACTCACACCCATTTTGGCCGCCTCATCCGGGAAAAAGAAGACATCCACACCCGGACCCAATGCTTCAATCTCCTCATCTGAGTAATCTAATAGGAAAAAAGAAACACTCAGCAAAAGCATACAGAAAAGGATAATTTCACAGACTCACCAGACTCCTCAATTGCGCTCTCTTGCATCGCTTCAGCCATAAGTGTGTTCACGTGTTGCTGCTGCGTTTGGGTAACTTCAGGAATAGATGTCTGACTGGACTTCACTGACAGCAGATCAGCATCCGCCTCACTTAGATTTCCCGTTGAATCACAACTCTCTTCCGGCACCGTGTCGAACTTCTCCAAATCACCTTTGGCTGCGATGTAAGAAATTAGTTGGGCAAGAGCTCGCGCTGAATCTGCACATGTTCGAATGTGAACATCATTGAGAGCGGCTCTCATGTCGAATTTTGGCGCATAGCTTGTGGCTTTCTCATTCAGTCTCAGAGAGATCTCAAAGAGTCCCAATTCCACCACACACACCAAATCTCTGAAGTCACCGTGCAAATTGTCGTGAATTTTCGGATAATCACTCTCCAGCATATCCGGCGGTGGAGCGTCAATTGCCTGTGGTGCCAGACACAGTGTGCAATCCTCAGCCACAAAGCGAAGTGTGCATCCAGAAGCTGTAGTGGTGATGTTGCTGCTGATCATAAAGTTTCCCAGTGTTATCACTGCGCGATAGGGAAAGTAGATAGGCCGGTAATCAATAGCGCAATCCCACAGATGAAGATGCATCTCAGTCACAACGCCAGACACTGTATATCCCAGCACTGGATAATCCACCACATCAAACATATCCAGCAACTCGGTCAGCCATGTGTGTTCCGATTGCGATGGATTGTGCCTCAATGTGGCCAATTCAATGCCAGCCGCCACGCGAATGCGCTTCAATCGTTGCTCCGGACAATGCTTAATCTGAATTGCAAGAGAGATCATTTCACGCTCCTTGTCACGCTTCGCCTTCTGCATCGTGAGATCCTTGGGTGTGCTATAGATGGTTCTGAGCAGATATTCAGGCAAAAGTGAGCCAAACCATCTGAGTGGCGGATCAGAACTTGGCGATGGGATAATGCCACAGTGAAAGAGATCAGCATCAATCACCTCCAGACAGACAAATCCCAAATTCTCATTACCACAATATCCTTTCACTGTGAACAGCGACAATCCATCCACCCTTATCACATACTCGCCAAATTGTTCAGGTATCACGAGGTTCTTCGAATCCCTCACAGGCGCCTGCATCGTGAGTAATCCCTCAGTGATGCACACCTGAATGCACAAGTCACAGCTCTTTGTCCCCTCATTCACTTGTCTCTCCGGCATGCGACTCTTCTTCCGATCATACATTGAATAGAAGACATTGGCGCCCTCATCCTCACCCGATCCCGACGATTCCGAAGTGTTTGTGGCCGAATAGTCAGACGCCATGGCACGAATTGATGTTGCCGGCGCATAGATTGAGTCCATCATGCCGACATTGAGAAAATTGTCAATTGTCTGCTGTGGCACAGTGGCACTTCGAGCTGCTGGCTCCCACAGCAGTAGATCCGAGTTGATTCTATTGTACAGTATCTCATAGAGATGCTTGGAGCGCAGCTGAAGACTCACCAGTGGCAGATTGATTTTTATCCGCAGGCGAGAATTCTTGTACGCAAAGTCACAGAAGTTGGACATTTCCATCGAGTCACCAGGTATAATGAGTGTTTCTGTGTCATCTGTTAAATAAAAAAAAATTTACAAGTAAATATAAATTGTTAGAGTGATGTTAAATGAAAAACTCACCATTGGAACTCTTCTTGTGCGGTGTATCACTCTCGCGACAGACTCTCTTTGAGCTAAACGGTGTGGGATTTGGTTTCTTCTGCACATTTTCCGTCGGTGATTCCCTTTCCAGGCGATCCAGGAGATTCATCGTATCACTCTCCTCGGGAATCACCTCAATTAGCACCGCTGGAATATCAATCAATTGCGTTTCAGCGTCAAGACGCTGCGAGGCCCGCCCAATGGCTATACTAGGCGCCCTGTCGTTCTCACAATAGAACATGTGAATCTCCCGAGCCTCCACCTTATATCCCGATGTTGCCACATTTGTCATCTTCATGCCATGGAGGCGCAGTGTAAGGAAGTCCGGACGCACATTTCGTCGCCACCAGGGAACGCGCTGTGGATCGTGCAGAGGTCGAAGGTCAGGAATGGGGAAGCGCAGCTTCAAATCCACACACTGTGACGCCACCACGATTGTCGTGGTGGTCTGAGTTGGCTCCTTGGCAGATGTCCTATAGTCTACATTGGACGATACACCGTCGAAGGGTGTTTCGTCTAGCACCGCTTTCAGTCGATCATAAATTGAGATGTCGATCTCAGTGTTGCAAGATGCCAGGACACAGTTAATCGTTGTGATTGGCAGTGAGTAGCGCACGGCGCCACCACGATGGCGAATCTTCTCCAATTTGTGCACATTGACAACAATGTCCGGCCGACACGCCAGGCCGCTGGCCGCGGAAGACTCGTCCCGATTGAAATCTAACAAAGGCACAGCCACATCGGTGAGAATCTCCTTCACATGCCCACGCGCCACAGATATCGCCACCTGCATCAGGTTCTCCTTCATATTCCTCTGCTCATCACCCTCAGCAATCACCGGCGCCAGCCACAGACGCAGATGATGATCCGTCAGCGCACCATTGAGACACTCCTCGAAGTTCTCCCCGTCATAGTCCACATCCTGCAGCTTCTGGAACAATCCCTCTGACATCATCTTCATCTTGCTCACACTCTCCGACGTCAGTGGCAAACACTGCTGTGCATCCAGTGAGCTCTCAAACAGAATGTCCTCATGGAGGATAATCACGAGAATAGAGGCAATTCGCATGGCAAAGCGTGATATCATGGAGTTGTCCACATCAAAGCCACTGCCGCCCTTCTTGCCACAATTCGTCGCTGAGCTCATGGAACTCGTCATGGAGCTACTCGAGGACATCACAGAATCAAAGATATTTCCACCCACGGGATTCTGTGGCTCGGCAATAGAATAGAAGATTTGCTGACATGATTTAGCTGAATCATCTGCAAGAAGAAATAAAATCAAATAATGAAAATTCTTGCTTACATAAATGACTAAATAAGGATATAAATGATAAAATGTGTATAGCATTTATATATACATTGACCTAAATAAAGAAACATATTGAAGAACTCTATTTTTACATACATCTGTTCGTAAATCACTGTCGCTTACTGTTAAACTGTCTCCCACACGGACTATTTCCCTCAACCTCGGCCAGGCATTCACTTCAATTAATCTCAGCAGAGTTAATTTGAGTAAATAAGCTAAGATGTCACCAAACACATAGAGATTATATCTCAAATATAATACAATTAACTGTCTTTGTGACTTGTTTAAACATCTTCTTGACCTGCACTAATGCAAATGCCTCACGATATCTCTGTATTGGTTGTGTGAATTGCTTGGAAAAGTACATGTTTTTCACATATATTTGCAACAAGCTTGCCATTATCACTTAATTCAATATGCATTCCAGATAATTGCCAAGATGTGACTCACCATACATATTGCTGGACCATCCGCCAGACATTGGATTGAAGGGCGTTTGCGTGCCCGTCGACAGGGCCACATTGGCCACAGGCACCTGTCTAGGCGTCTGCTTCTCAGCACCTGATGCACACGCATCATCTGTCGCCGCGGCACCACTGGCCGCCGCCTCTCCGGTGAATCTCTCGCTGAGACATAGCAACAGATGCACTTGACGTGGCGACAAAAACACCTCCATGGCGCCGAGACTGAGATCCATCTCAACCTTTGGTCCAGGAACATTCTCAGACTGCTTCATGCGAATCCGCACCTCCTGGCGCGTCCGCAGACGCCCCATCAGGATCTGTCCGCTCGTCACAATCTTCGTCCCAACATCATCCTCGTCATCGCCAGTCGCCTCCTCGCGATCCTCACTCAGGAATGTCTCTCGGCTGTCCTGCATTGTGGACGACATGCTGGAGATTGTGCTATGGAACTGCTCATTGATGTCACTCAGTGGTTCACTCGACGCTCGACTCTGGCCTTTGCGACTGTCATCCACCAAGATGAACTCCTCCGTGTAGAACGAAATGTCCTCGAACACAATGTGATGAATAGCATGTGTGGAGATGAAGTAAGACTTTTTGCGTGACGCCGAGGGTGATCCGTCACTCTCAGGAGCGCCGGCAGAGTTGGCATTGTCTCCACTCTCCTGCGTATCGCCACCCACTTCATTCTGATACTCAATCTTCTTGATCTTCACCACAATTGCAATTCCTCTCTGTTGATTCGGCAACACATACTCCAGTCGAACCACCGTGTCGACAAATTTGGCCTTTATCCTATTGAGAACTGCAAGACAATGAGAGAAAAACAGAGAAAAAATAGCCATTAAAAATCCATATCGAAAAATATATCAACAAACTATTTATCGGGCAGAGGCAAAAAGTCTTCCGTGTTCTTTCTTTTTTTTCCTACACTGAAATCCTCCTGCTCTTTGTTCACCAGACACACAGGCACACACATAAATTCTATTATTAGAAAAATATATTCCAATTTCCCCCATGTTGAATAGTTCAAAATATCGCTAAAATAGCAACAAAGTCCAACATATTTTATCTCTTCTTCCCTATTCAACCCATTTTATTACACAAAAAGTCACACTCTCAATTAAAATAACAAATGACAGTATTCCCTCGATTAATTTATTATTGCGCTGTCTTTCTCTCTCTGTGCATTGTTGTTGGACAAAACATTTATGATTTTACCAGTGATAATCACTTCCCCTCCACTAAACATTCACAAAATCTACTTGAATTTACAAATATTAGCACGCACTTGAGGAGAAAAATGAGCCTCGTGGGCGAGGTTTCACAACACAACACACATCAATATAGTGAAGCTCTTTTTTCATCGCTACTCGCGCAACTCTGAACAGAAAGAATAACTCTCTATTACTGTGCAATGTGAGATAAATATATAGAGCAATAGGGAATCTTTTTGATTAGTTTGCAAAAATAAACAAGAACTTCACATTTATCACAATAAATCTGAAGAGAACGCACTGTGAGATTGGCAAAATGTACAATATATCAACAATGTTGAGAGTAAACACTGAGGAATTTTTCTTTACTGCGATGATCAGATCACTAAAGAGTGCGCGATTGTGCAATGTTGACACGTGTTCGAGACGATCGCGTATAGAGAATTAGACTCGAAAAAGAAAACATCATATCAGATTGCATTAGAAAATTGCGACTTTGAGAAATTCTGTGTTTGTGTGTGTGTGTAAAGTCCACCCTGTGGACTAAACCACAATAATATTAGTCAAAACAGAGAAAGATTGATTGTGCACTCTTCAGTCAATCACCTCACAAATCACTCTCCGAGTCACAATAAAACCAATAGCTTGCGGTGTATTTGTTTGCTATTAAATTTCATTCACCCCAAAACAATGCAAGATTAGTCAATACTTTCGTCATTAAACCCAAGAGACACAAAAGAGCATTTGAGATTGGACTCATCCTTCCCAAACAACAAAAAACGCGACATGCCTTAAATCCCAAAATGTGAGACAACAGAAGGGAAATCAAGTAAGAAAAAAATAAAAATATATTCCACTTGATGATTAATCGGCATTGAAAATAAGGTGGCAAAAGGAATTGTAAATGAGTGTGCAAAATAAAAATAATTTTTCTCTTGGAATTTTTGCATAGGAAAACAGTCTTTGGTCAGAGAAAACCTCGACCTGAAAGAACAATTTGATTTGAATTTACTATGTAAATTAACAGCGAACTAATCAACACACACTCACTTTGTCGATTCAAATTGCGTTGTACGACAACACAATTTTATTATCATTTACAAAATTCAACTCACCATTATCGATGATCTGTGCAAATCTCTCAATGCCCTCCATTGCGCTCATCTGGACATTCTGTGCCAGATTCTCACCCTCGCGATCCATGCAATCCTGCGCCAATTGCATCGAGCTGCTCATGGAGGACCACATGGACTCCAGCACCGATTGGCCTTCCTTGGTCGTTGGCTTTGGCTTCAGCGCCAAATACAGGCCAGACACTTCGATGAAACTGTCCTCCGTCATGAGGGCATTCCACGGTATATTCACCGTGACGGAGCCCAAGTAGCCCTCGATCACTTCCAGGGCCCATCCTTGACTTTGGCACAGCTCATTGAGGGCCTACAAAGGTAAAAAGAGTGGAGAGAATTAACGAGATGGAATTGAATTTCAAGTGTTTTGTCGTTTGAATTTGCTAATCCGCACGTCGCGTCGAAAAGTGTAGCATTTTCTACAGTTTTTATCACTCTCTACACACGGTAAAGTTCATGAATTGTCTGCCTATTAATAGACTTTTACACCGAAGAATCATCATCATTGTATATTTGTGGAGTCGGAAACAAATCTCTCTTTCGTCGTGTTTTCGTCGCTACAAGATATTTTTGTAGTCATCAATGTTCCATTTAAACCCTGACACGACATAAGATGGTAAAGGAAGTAGAATTTTCTTCCACTCTCATTCACTTTTCTCCAAAATAGATCAAACTATCACAACACAGGAAAATCAAAGTAAATCTTCTTCGTCAGAACTAACTAAAGACTACAAGAAGAACTGTTCCAACACACCATGAACTCACTCAAGGTGACTTAAAAGGAATTGAGGGTGTGCATTTCGTAAGTTGACATTCAGTATTTCCCCAATAAACAATCAAAAGAAATTCCTTCAAGCTGTTTTTATTGTGAATTCACCGTGGAGAAACAACGAATATCGGCAGTTGAAAGAATTCCCTTGGAAAGTACATACTTTCAGCCGATAGTGATCGCTTTTAATAGTTTGCAAATGGCATTTTTGCCTGCGCCACATGAGCATTATTTCGGCCCCGCCAAGACACGGCGTCTCGGCAGGTGCTGTGGAAATTATTATTATTATTATTATTCCTGCATATATTCGAGCGTCTCCAAATGTGGACAGAAGAAAAAAAGTCATTAAAATTCTCATGGAGAGCGAGTGTGCGATGATGAAACATTCGCGAATGGACGGTGCGATAATGTTGGTAAATAGAAGTCACAAAGAGGCGAAGAGACGACAAAACAAAAAACATATGATTTTAAATGGTCAGCTGGCCGAGACACACGCGGAGAGTCGGACAAAAAGACGCTGGAGGAAGACTTGAGAGACTCTCTTTTGCCTTTCTGCTACCTTTTTTGCACACACCATACGAAAACAGCACAAGACTTTTGCTCATTTTCAGACAAAGAAGCATCCAATTCTGATGGCTTTTCTGGCCTTATCTTTTTCGCTTCCAAACGCGCGCGCTCTTCAAATGTTTCGCCACATGTTTTTCTTCTTTTTTCTTTTCACCTCTTTGATGGAAAAATAGTTATTGAAAAATTATCTATTTCACAATATATTTACAAGTCTTTTGAATATAAAATTTGACAAGAGAGATGAGAGAATCGCGTTCAAACACAAACCATGTGAAGCTTTGTATTTGTGCGCATTCGTGTGTTTTTAGCACTTTCGCGAAGACGCAAAAGCTAAAGTGTGATTCAGTGACAAAATCCCAAAACAATCTCGCTCTTTTTCTACTTCGACACTTTTTTTCACGATCGCCTGATAAGAAAAACATATATTTATGGTTTATCTCTCACTCTGTCTCTCAGTTCTAATGTGACCCACTTTGCCTCCTTCGCACTGAATTTTTCCTCCACAAACACACACACACACACAGAGACAGATAATTTCCTCGCGACTTGAGGACATCCAGAATTACAAAAAAGGAAATTTAACTGAACGTCTGAGACATTGAACTCGCAGCTTTTTTCTGCGTCTCACACTCTAGTCTAGTGTGTGTGTAGAAAAAAGACGAAATGAGGAAAAAAACACTCTCAATCTCGCGATTATTCGCGCGAACGCAAGAAATACGCAAAAGTGTGAGTGAGAGACGAAATATGGATGGGCCTTTTTTTCTCAACTTGCAATCTATCCACATTGAAGCAAACACGTGAAGAATGTGACGCTATTTGTGCGTGATCGAGAGCAATATTTTACGCGTACGCATCTTTACAATATTCTAAAAACTATTCTACATTCCATCGCTGCACTTGACAAGGTTTCCCATTAGAAAAATAAACCACTTTTCAAAGCCATGATAACAGAGATAAAGCGAATTACGCACATATTTTGCAAGCCGTAAAAAATTCACCTCGCGTAATTAATCACCGCAATGCGTGATCTTTTCAACATTCTCGCGCTAGTGTGTGACTTTTTTTCTCAGTGTTTTCCTCTCCGGAAGACTTTTGCGATGTGCGAGAAGTGATTTACATAAGTTCAATGCTGCCGCGTCGCCCCCGAAAAAGGCTCACACGCGCTGTCTCCCCGAGCGCGAAAAGTGTGCACGGGTGCTTTTTTGGGACATTTTCCCACTACGCAATTGAGAGATTTCCGCCCATCCCCTTTCTGTCCTTTTTCCGCGACGGTCGCAGAAGCGCCCCTGGGGCGCCATGCTCACCTCGGAGTAGAGCGCGACGTCGTAGACGGTGCCCTTGCCGTTGTACAGGTCCACATTGAGCTGCTCCAGGGAGAGCTTCTCCTGCAGGAACTGCCCCAGATAGCGCTGCAGCAGATACCTGCACACCTTCTTCTTGATCACGTCCGACCAGAGCGCGTACCAGGGCATCGCGTGTGCTGGTTGCCCCGCTCGTGTCTGTGCTGTGGCCCCCCGATCAGCCTCTGCTGTGCGCCCTCTGTCTTCCGCAGTCTCTCACTCCGTGACACGCCACAGTCAGACGCACTTTTCCCGCATATGCACGCACGGGCCACAAGGTTTCACACCGCCAAATGCTATTGCGTAACTCCCGCGAGCGCCTACACATCAATTTGGGCAGCCAGATGAACTTTTCACGGGTATTTTCCGCCCAACATTTTGCTCTGTCTCAACACACTTTTCTGCACTCTTCCTTTGTTTTGTCAAAAACTACCCGGCTGACCAACGCCTCACTGTTCTGGCCTTCTCTCCTCATGCGTGCTCGCGCCTCAATACAGCAACTCCGCGGCCAAAGTGCGCGAATTACACGATAATCCACCGAAAACACCCCACAAACTCCAAACTATCTAGCACCACATGAATTCACAGACAGTTATGGAAGGCAAAATGGCAATAATTCCCTCTAGGAAGTGCGCACTAAACGACGTGTAGTGACAAAATAGTTGCAGTGTAATTTATGGGCAGTTGGATGGCTGGATGATTTCCCACAACTTGCCGCCGCTCATGCCACCTGGTGGCCAATTTTCAGCCAATCAGCTGTGGAGAGACCAGCTGATCGGAATTTAAAAACAAACAAAGGGGCTTTCATCCATTCTTTCATCCCTCGCGCCTCACACAAATTCACAATAGAGGCAATAAAAGGTCTAAAAATAAATGGAATCTTCTCTTAATGGATTCAATTAAGTTTTTATTGAAAATCAACTGTCCTTGCACTAGAAATGCTCACTGTTCACTAAGTATTCTCTACTCTTCAGCCTGCTTTTTGGCCCTCACGAATGGCCTGCATTCCGGATACTTATCAGTGTAGAAGCTCTTGATCTCCCCGTGATGCACCTTCATGTCGATTATGGTCTCAAAGTGACCTCGCTTGGTCTCCTGCTTCCTGAGGTGCTTGTTGTGTCCATAGGTGCCCAGGTAGAAGGGCTTGTACTTCTTCCTCTTCAGCATAATGTTCCCGTCGAGGCCGTGCTGAGTGAAATCCATGATTTCATTGCTGGGAATCTCATCGTCCGTGCGACACTTAGTTGGTGAGGCCACGACAGTGGGGAAATTACCCTGATCCTTGCGGAACTCCACCACGTGAAGACCCTTCTCCTCGGCGAGTTGCTGGTGAGTCTTCTGCTTCAGCATTCCAATGAAGAATGCCTTCACGATGTGTTGCACGTTCGTGGAGCCCTCAATTTTGGCGTGCAAATCCTTTATGCCAATAACTTGACAAATAGTCTTGATAGCTCTGTGGCAAATCAGCCCGTAACCCTCGGGCTTTCTCTGCATGAAAATCTTCGTGGCTCCGAACTGACAGAAGATGTCATGGTACACCGTGTGTCCATTGCAGAGCTCCACGTGGATCAGCTTCTGGCCAGCGCGGTTCTTCACCTTCCTCAGGACGGTCTTGTTGTCAATCGCCTTAGCCACAGAGAAGCCAGCAATGCCATTCCCATTTCCTGTCACCGCCATCACGGACAGTCGTCTCTTCCTGCCCACATTTCCCTTCATGACGAAGACCTGCTTCAGCTCCAGCACGCGCGTGTCAAAGCCATCGAATGTTTGGTCTCCAATTGGATCCGGCGGCCCAATACTCCTGCCCGGCATCTTGTGTCCTGACCATCCGCGATCGATTGGATTGATCCTTCCCAGCCGCCGGAAGCCCATGGAATCTCTCAGTTTTATCAGCTTCGCCTCACGCTCCTTGTCCTCTGGCAACTCCTCACGCTTCACCATCTCCCGGCCGCGCACGACAGGAGCATTGAGACCTGGCCAGACCATGTTTATCTTGCCCACACCAATTACTTGACCGCGATTCAAGTCTCTGCCTTTCTTCTTAGCTGCTCCACGTCCGCGACCTCTCTTCCTTCCGGCATTGCTCACAGAATACACACCCTTCCATATCTGCTCAGCGGGCACTGGAAGAAATCCCCGAAAACAGAAATCAAGGAAATTTGTCAAAGAAAAACATTGCGCAAGCAATTGAGGTTAAGCACAGTTTTTCTTACATTTCACGAAGAAACTCGTCTTTCTGGCAATTTGCACTTGAGGATTGATTGTCTGCTGAAGGAGAATACTCGAGCAGGTGTTAGTAATTGTGTTTATTCGCAATTTACTAAGATTTCTCACTAAAATATTCATTTTTGCGAACACCTTTTGCACAGCCGGAAACTACTGCCATGCCAGTGTGCCAGCAACATCCTCACTGCGACAATAGCGCCACTCGCGACTAGTACGGAAAAGTACATTTGCGGGAAATTTGTATTTCTGTGATTTAACTTACAACGGTAAAATGCTCTTATATTAAATTTAATGCAATAAAATAAAGAAATACATCTCATTACCATATCAATACTCTATCTAAAAATTACGATGTCAGAAATAGGGGAAAATCCCCTCCCAATTTCACATGAGAGCGAAGAGTGAATAGCTAGACAACAACTATTGAATAGAAATTGTATCAAATTGTGTGGTAAATGGCGTATTTCGACACTCTCTGCACAATAGTGATGTGAAGTTGAGATTAGCGCTCCATGGCATGGTCTGTGAAATGCGATTAAACCCCCCTGAAGCTCGGAGGACGGTCCTTTTGAAAGTGCAGCAATTCATGCGTTATTGCATAAATGTCGGGTTCTATATATAATACAAAATTTTCAAGTGGATCTCACTGGTAACATTCTCCATATATCTCGTGCTCACCCTCCTGCCCAGAGCAGCAGCAGGCACCAATGCTTCTGCAAATACAGCCCTCCCAGACACATCTTTCACCTTTTCTGGTTCCGCAATTTCCAACAGAATTTGTCGCAGCTTTTCCTCTGTTTCAATGGCTTCAATGGACGATTTTTCCATTCTTCCTTTGATTCTCCACTTCTTCTTCCCACGAGTGGACTAACTTTTAATTACAGTGAAGGACAAGCACAAAATGAATGGGAGGAACGAAGGATCTATTCAGGTCCAATGGATAAAAGGGCATCAGTGCGTTTCGCTCTTTGAAGACACAAATAATCCTATTTAGAGAGAATACATTTCCACTTGCATCATTTCATTTCAATATTCTTCATTCACCTTATTATTAAACACACTTGCCGCACTTTACTAAGTGAAAAAAAGTTTACTGAGAGATGAATTTTCTTTTCAAACTCAGAATCAAGGGAGAGATAATTTGTCTGGCAAATTCGCGAAACTTTCAGCACTTTAAATATGTGCAATGATTCTCAACTTATAATGAATCTCTTAAGGTTCTATTTGATACTTCTTTAAGAGTTCACAGAAATACACTTTGAAAATAAGAATAGAAAATTTTAAGATTCAATTTAAGCACTTGTCGAGGATTTTTCTGATCCTAAAGAAAGAATTTACACGCTTTTGATCATTTTACTCTTGATTCGAATTAAAAAGTAATTCAATGTGACTTTCAATTCTCGAAACAATTTCAATAAAACATTGGATATTCGTGAGAATACCAGAAGTCCTCTCGGAAGTGAAGAGCCAATTGTCGTCACTCTGTCTGAGATATAAATCATTGCCATGGCCTAATCCCATTGCAAGTCCTGTAATCATTTGAGAGCCGCCGGCTTCTCCGGTGCGTCGAGCGTGGAAGGAAGTGCCTCGATGATGGCATCAAGTGATGTCATGCATAATATTGCCTCCGGGGCCAATCCATCATTTATCATCCCCTCGTTCACTTGAATGGGTGGGTGAATGCATATAATTGGTGTTTTGTAAACATCAACTATTGCCGTTCAACAATGCCATGACGAGGAATTCCCTTTGTGGCTCTTCCTCGGCAGCACTTTTTCTTTCAAATAATCTCCTCCTCTCCAGCTCTTTTTCTTACCCACGCAAGATACCCTCAATTCATCACTCTTTTCCTCTTTTCGCTCTCTTAATGTGTAATTACAGGGCGACCATTGATAGCTTCATTGAGTCCATTGAGAGATGTGGTATTAAATGATGTTGCCAACAATGAGGCAAATTCACACAGGTAAGCGCGATGTCTCCAGGTTTGGGATCAGGAGCTGAAATTCATGTCACATCAGCTATTATTCATTTTATTTGGACTGTGGACTCATATTTTTGCAAATTTGTCCATTGACATTCAGCGACGTGTGTCGTACTGGAAAGGCCAACAGAGAGAGGATTTTCCCATTTAATTTGGCAGGATGAAAAGTAAACAATAATGTGCCGAGCGAGGGTGGAAAGCAATTAAAATAATTGCAGAGACTCCAAAATATCAAGTGCAAAACAAACAAATGGAATGGCAATGCGAGGAGTTCGGCGAGAAAAGCGGGAGGTGAAAAGTCCTGGGATCAGTGCACGGAAGGACACGCGGGCATTTTCGGGATGTGCGACCTGGACAGCCTCAGACCGAGAGGTGGAAGTGAAAAGTGAGTCGGAAGAGGGACAGAGCGAGGATGAAAAGTGCGCGCGTGAGACAAGGATCCTCAGCTCCGCCGGTCAATGAGACTCGTCGAGAGCTCTTGGAGGAGCCCTTCGACGTCAACAACTTTTATATGCTACTTATATGTGTTACGAGTATCACTCACACCCTTCCTGCACTCCGTCTGCACTCGATAATCCTTGTGCGGTGTTTTATGGCAGTCACCTCTCCGCCCCTCATCCCGCCACTTTTCTGACCACCGACAAGGAAAGCTCTCTCCCTCTTGAAGTGCATCGCTCGGAAACACAAACGCGCTTTGCCATTTCCTTCTCAGCCTTTTTCCCTCCGTCAGTGCATCGATTTCTGCACGAAGCGCGGAAGACTAGAAAAACTCCCTTGAAATCCCAAATTCGCTTCTCTCTCACTCTCACTCTGTCTCTGGGAAATCTCAGATCCGTATCGATCTCAAGAGCTGTGCTTATAAATATTTGCCTCATTGCCATTATAGGGCGGCATTTGGGCCTCTGCCATTGACCGCCTCCATAGCATCTCGATTAGATGATCTCTCCAGCTGGAGACTCAAAGATCCGCTCTGTTGTTTGTGCGCGGCACACACGGGAGCGAACTGAAGCACATCTCGAGGACCCTTCCTCGCACAGATCTCCCGTTCGCTCTTGCATTCCACGAGTGCCAAAACACAGTTACGCAATGCTTTGACGATTGTTCTGTGTGGCGTGTGTGCGTGCAAAAAGTCCATTCTGACGCAATTACACACTCTGGAAAAATATTATTCTATCGCAATTTGTTTGTTTACTCGCGATAAAATTAGCGTTTGAAAGTCTTGCCGAAAAGACGGATTGAAACTTTTTCTGGGAGGCAGGGAGACAAAAAAATTTCGTAGATTTCATGACAAAGACTCTTGAAGATTGTCTCATTGAGATAGCATGGCGAAGATATCCTGGATTTCTTTAAAGTCAACGTTAAAGTGGGTTTCGCGTGGGTCGATTAGCTATGAAATGGTAAATTTATATCTGCAACAATTTCTTCTGAAGTAAACACATAAAAATATTGCTTATTAACTTATCAATTTTTATATAGAAAGAAGAAAATCAAATCTTTGTAAACTATTTTGTCCTATTCAAACACTGAGTTAGATTTATTTGAAATTAGAAATTCTGTTGAGTTTACTACATGATTGTTCTTTAATGATAAACTTGGCCGCGGTTGTGCGAAAGAAATGATACAAAAGCATTAAACGGTAGCTAAAAACATACAATAAGCAAGTTGGCAAGTCAAAACTTATAATTTAATGTGGTTATCCTAGTCAGTATTGTCCTAACTTAATTTTCGCTGCCCTTTTGCGCACATCTCTCTGCAGTTTGCAATATCTCAGCCCCGAATTGAGATATCGCAATGATCTTAACGCCAATTGAAAGGTCATTACATTCTAATGATTTTTTATCTTAAGGTAAATATCACCAAACTTGAAAGAAATATCGATTTTTTAATACCAAAAATAAATTGTCCCAAAATTTTATAGGTGTCCTAAACTAATTTTCGCTACTACATATTATTCAGACACTTTATAAGCGCACAACTACGTCAAAAGATTGTACAATTTAATGTTATACGAATTGCTATAAATCCTATGATTTTTTTTAAAGTTATCTTTAATTTAGCACTTAGCAACTGGGTTTTTCTGTGCAATTGAGCTGATCAAGTGGGATTGGCCGAAAGGCTTTGTGTTCGTGTATTTACAACTGATCCGATTTATGTGCAATTTTTGCGCTATGTATTTCCATATATTTCCTAAATCTAGCATTGAAATTGTGGTCGTTCTATTTGCAGCACAAATATACTGGCGAAGCACTCTGAAATTGACTCCCAGCGTCGCTTTATCCTGGCAGCACAATTCAAGAGGACTCCCTCGCATTGGCAACCAGATTGAAAATCCGGCCTGGAATGCGTCTCATCTGCGCAATTTTCTTCCATTTGATCCTTGGCGACGGGCTTTTGTGCGAATACCTGATGGAAATTAAATTGCAGCAAAATGATGAATTTCCGCTGTGCGAGGATTTCTCCTTGAAACCCCACCAAGAGCAACGATCCGAGCCCTCCTGTCGAAATTGCCTGGCGGCGAACAGGGGGTTGGGATGCCATTCAGGTCCCCTTGCATATGTTGCTGGTGAGTGTGTCAGAAAGCAGTATTTTTCTGCAGAGTCCTTTTTTCCCTTCGGCATCAGGAGCGTCGCAGTGTGCGCGCCTGTGTGCGTTGGAAACTCACTGTGCTCTCGCTGGCGTGTGTGTATGGCCTTAAGTGCCGTCCAGGAGGTACATAGCACCAAAACCAATTGCCATCGAAATCACTCACAGACCCAATCTGGTTGGATAGCATCATCGAAAGCCCCGCCCGCGTGGAGAGAGCTTCACAGTTGGAGTGCAAGAAGAGTGCTTATGGTTCGGCGACTCTTGTGTATTTGAAGCTGGTGATGCTTCCCATGCCATTCCCTACCCCTATGTACACCATCGATGACATTCTGGGGTACATGCTTCAGCTGCCTGGCAAGGAGGTGAGGATGAATGTGGGATAATTCTGTCGCTGGTGTCATGCTCGCACACACTGACGATGCTACATCGGCGCTTTTTTCGCCCCGGGGAACGAGACAGGGCCTTTCTCCATACAGTGCGGGCAAAGGTGTGTACTTAGCTTGTCGACGCCCCGACTTCTCGTCATCCATACACGACAGCGACTATACAACAGGCAAAAAGTGGTGTTCATATGGATTTGGAGTGCTATCACAAGCAATCTGAGAAGCACTCGTCCTCAGTACTGTGTAGACCTCTTGTTTCATTTGACGGACTTTTGTGTCGAGTGGCCACCATCCAAAAATCCTCCAGAGGTGTTCAATTCTGTTATTGTTATTAATTTTTCACACCACCACCTTTTTTCTGCCTCCTGCCAAAACCATCGGGGCCCCGGAGGACTCCTTTTCGCGCACAAGAGGAGCCACCAGCATGGCCAATTGACTCGTCTCCAACAATACCCAATGTGGAAGTGATGAGGACCTCTCAGTGGAGGAGTGAGAAGTTTTTCCCTTTCTCACCACAGTGACACTCGACGCGAGCGGAATTCCAACACGCATCCCCTGAGGAATTGCCTGGAAAGCCCAGAGAATTTGCCCGAGAAAAGACTAACATATATACTGTGAAATTTTAAGGAATTTACCATTAGAGTAGTTTTACTAACTTGAGACAAAGTGAATTGCATCCTCCAATCGAGGAGGACGAATACAGAGAGTGTCACGGCGCCAGATGGATACACAGATTCGTGAAGCGAGTGCGTGATTTCGAGCCAGTGCCACAGAAATACATAGTGAAATAGTGACCGCGTGAGAGCGCACGAAAGTGGCAATCACCTTCCTGACGCATGTCCACTATACTGGCCACCACAAATTCTGGAGCCTTTCCAGAGGATCCCGACCAGGAACATGGGCTGCCCGATCTAAATGGTGTGGACTTGGTTATGAGCTTGTCGCCCAAGCACAATCATCATCACAGTCTCACGAGTCTCCAGCATCTGCAGTCACTCCAGCACAATTCGCTCCACAGTCACTCGACACCCTTCTCAGTCACGGACATTCTCAGTCCTATTGAGGAGTCGTACAGGAAATTAGAACTTAGCGCCAATCCGCCTTCGCCTTACAGGTTCGTTTTAGATTAAAATGTAATTCCATCAATCCCAATCCATCATCATCAACGACTTATAAAATTTATTAAAATCTTTGTATTTAAAAATTTTTCAAATTTGCGTTAACGATAATTTTTAAGTAATAGTGAAACAAAGGAAACAAAAATTTTTCAATGATTTTTAATTCCTTGCACTGAAATAAAACATCAAAAAAATCTCCCTGATAATGCTCAGGATATTGCAATTAACAAAACCACAATAATTTGGTTAAAAAAGTGACAGTGTGTATAAATTTGCAGGTCCAACTCCAGCGGCAGCAGCGTCAATTCGCCAAGTGCTCTGGGGCCAAGCACGGGAATGGCGAATCCCTACGCCATGGGGCCTTTGTATCACAGTCCCGGTGTGCAGAGCTACTGCACTCCGGCGGACAATCTCTCCCTGGCCGGCCACTACACCGACATGCGGAGTTCCGCCGGCTGGTACGGGTCCACAGCCAACGATCCGCGCTTCGCAAGTAAGTGATCACCCGTCAAAGGAAGCTCTCTCTCTCTCTTTGATCTCTCTGTCGAGATTTGGCGCGATGAAGGGTCCCCTCCTGCTTTTTGCCATCGCTGCAGAAATCTCTGATGGCGCGAAAAACCTCCGCATGCTTCAGCAAACACTCAAGGAGCTCCCATTCGATCAGCAATCTTTGTTCACATGCCGACGCTGTCTATACAGGCTTGAGGCGCGCTAAAATGTTTGCGAGGATATCAATGGGATTATCTGGAATGAGATGGGAGGCATTTTTCCTTGTCACCATCGGCGCGCGCTCGAAGTGTTAGGCACCAATTGAATATTTATGCAAACAAATTTATTCGCTGATTCTACAACAAAAAATTACTCCACCCTCCCTTCATCCCCCCGGAAAAGAAACTTTTTATCATGTCGGGAAGAATCACACGCCTGGGACATTGATTCCTCAATCCAACAGTGTTTTCTTTTATCGATGGGTGGGAAAATTGGTGATAATTGCTGTCTCTAAATGTATGAAATTTAATGTTATTTAGCAATGCACTCGGAACTAGGAAATTCGATCCTTCTCACTCGTGGATCTTTTGTGGAAAAAAAAATCAGTGCTGTGAAGAAAAATGTGTGAAATATTTCTCGTGTGCGGTTTGATACGCCTAAAGTGGATGAAAAGGCACGCGGTATCCCTCATTTGATGTTGATACACGCAAATGAAATCCGATCCAGACATTCAAGTGCGTCCTCCTGCACGACCCAGGAAACTAATAAGTGTCAGAAACATTAGACTTCAATCACTCCTGATTGTTTAAAGTGTTATTTGAGACAAATTTGTGTCATAAAGCTTGAGTCAGATAAATTTGAGGGGCGCATCAATCAGAAATTTCTCAGCATTGCTTTTTTTCTTATTACCAACGCGAAAATTAGCTCAATTTCACTATTTTCTGGCATTCCTCAAATTCCCCACGCAAAGTGTCCTTCCTGGAAAAATGATCTCGCGCTGATAACAATTAAATAATCATCAAAATTTATCTAATACAGAACTTCTTCTCCTACAGCTGAATAGAATTTTTTTCCATGCCACCTTACGTCTCCTTCATATCAATGATTTTATTTACATACCTCTTTTATTATTATTCTTTCAACGCCAAGCACAAACAAGGCGAAAAAAGAATGTGTGTTGAAAAAAAGAGAGTGGACGAAAAAATTAATAATCACTGGTATTGTTGGGTTAACGAGGCTTTTTGGGATCTTTCTTTGCCTGGCTGCTTTTTCAGTCTCCGCACTCACTTCTTTGCTGTGCTGTATTGGGAGATATTTTTCTTGAAAATGAATTTACATTCAGCATCTCTCAATGTGCGTGATATCGAATTAATGTGTGTATATATCCATTTTGGAGTATTTTTATTTCCACATGTTTCTCCATGTCATGGAGGCTTTTTTTTCTGGTGTGAGAGTGAAAAATTCTTACAGCCCATTATTTGTTTTGGTGACTCAATATTTTCTCTCGCTCCGCGAAAGATTCTATTCAGCATCACATGAGCCCGAATGAGGGCTTGTGGTATGGAAATGTGATTCCTCAGAGCGCGAGAGATTCATGGAGATTTCATGGTGAGCCGCGCGAGTGAAAATGAAGAGATGTTTCACCATGGAATTTTCCGCAAATTTGCCTGAAGATCTTATCATGTGAGATGAGGCAGAAAAGTAGCAAAATGGCCAATTTGGCAAATCTAATTTTCACCCTCGACAATTTTCATCCCAAACCCTCCAGTTTTCTTTCGGCTCTCGCCTGTCGCTGACACTGTCCTCTTATTCCACCATTTATTCTGGCCCAGTCACACCGTTTTATTAGTTTTGCCACACACACAAAACATTGAATTATCCTCGGATCTCATCACCAGATCCCGAGGGTGAGCATGTTGTGGCAAATTGGAGGTTGTGGCTAGAATAATATTTTCTCAGTATGTTTCCCGTCCAGGCGGACACGCTTCAAGTCTCCATTTGGGTACCGAAAAGAGCGAAAGAAAATTTTGCAAAGATAATATTTTCACTTTATTAACTCATTTTGCAAGAGTTTCAATTAAAATTTGATCCTTTTCTTAATACAGCAGAGACATGTATTCTGAGAATTGAAAATATTTGTATAATTATTTCTCTGACATCTCAAGTTGGGAATTTTACAGTACATTATCTATTAAGACAGAGAATGGACAAATGAATGTCAAGATGACATCAAAATTTGTGCTAATTACATGTAGATTCTGACACCAGCTCATGAAAATGCATATCAAAAGTGTTGTAATTAAAAAATGATAGCGTATTTGTTCAGCTAATGACATTGTCATATATTGATTTTGCAATATATAATCATTCAACAGTGATAAATGCTCCATCCAAATGAGATTCCCGGGCACTTGCAATTACTTGAGAGGCTCAAGTATCAACAATTTCATAAATGCACAATCTCTTCTGCTCATATTTGCACAAATTGCCTCTTCGCGCCGTGCATTTTTCCCAGCAAAATCTTTTCATGCGTCTGTGGATGCATAAAACTACCTCAAGCCTCTTGCAAATATTTCCTATTCCATATAGCTGTAGAATGACTGAAGGATGAAAATTCGTGTGAATTTCGAGCTCTCGCATTAGATTCACATTTACTCTGCATTTGCCAGTGATGTTTGCCATGTGGAAAGCTCAATATTTGATCAGGGTGTATATGCTTTCTTAAATGCAATCATCGGAGAGGCGCACTCGCAAATCCTTTCTCTGAAAATTCACTGGATTTACAAGATTTCCCATCAACCGACAGAAACTGAGAAAATTCTCAAATAATACCGCTGTGTCAACAGAGATTCAAGTTTAAGATGAGTCTTTCCAGCGAAGCTGCTGTATTCTGGCCAATTCAGACTTACGTAGCAATTTTTAGAGAATGTCCAAGAACAAACAGAAATGGTCACGTTTGTGGATATTTTTCTCATTTCAGGAGCATTATCTGTTGATTGCTTGCTTCAAACATATATTGTCTCACATTTATAATATCTTTATTAAGTATTCATTCCGAAAATTCAATTCGCATGTAAAGGCAAATCTTCCCACGAAACCCTCCAAAAAATTCCCCTCGTCAGAGATTGAGAGAATTTCCTGTGAGTTAATTTTCACGATTGATCGCATTAATGCTAATATGTTTCTTCTCTTGCAGTCTCAAGATTAATGGGTGGCTCAGCGGGTGGTTCCATGGGACACGCAATGAGCAACATGGGAAGTTTGGCGGCTTGCAGTGTGTCTGACACGAAGCCAATGCAATTTCCTCTGGCACAGAGGCGAAAAAGGCGAGTCCTTTTCACACAAGCACAGGTCAGTGAGCAATTCTTTTCCAGTCATTCGTTGAATGCGGGTTACCTATTCTGCATAAAATTATTTCTTCAGCTTCTCGAGACCGAATGGAAAAAAAGGTCACTAGAGCATAATTTTGATCGACAATCTAATTTCAATTCCACATACACACATTTACAATGGCAGCACTGTTATATCAAGCATCTCGAGAGGCTCGAGAATGAAAGAAGTTTGATTGGGAGTGAAAAGAAAACAGAGTGGAGAACAAAGGGACATAAGGGTAATTAATTTACTGAAGGAAATGCTTCCCTTATTTTTCTCTCCCTCCATTGCCAATAGGAAAACTCCCAATGGTAACCTTAGATACGATTCTGTTGTGAAACATCGATGAATTCCATAAAGTAGCACAATATTTTCGATCTCCCAATGCTTGAAATTTGATAAAATGGGTTACAAATTTCGCTTTTAACCTCCGCAATTGAGCAGTTAAATAGGCAAGACAAAACTGTTGGTGACAAAAAAGCATCATATTAGCAATTTATTTTGAATTAATCAAGTGAATTCATCTCTTGAATGTGTATTTTTCCCTCATCATCTCATCTGTCCATGCTTTTTTTCCTCTATTTACCTCCACAAAATCCGCATACATAAAAGGTATGGAATTTGTGAGGAGAAAAATAGAAGTGAAAATCATGCATCAGAATGCGATGATGACGATGGTGGCTCCACTGGAATAATACGAATCTGTGTAAATAGAAGTTGTGGCGTATATAGGTGGGAAGCTTTTACATAAGCAGAAGATATAGCGACATCTCTACAATATAAATTATGACCGAAATGGTGCGCATGGTAGTCCAAAGTTGGGAATTGTCTATTTGCAGAGCACTCGAAATGCCAAGTTCCAACTAATACACAAGAAATACAAATATACACTCTCATCTCTTTCTCTCGCTCACATTTTCTTTACCTACCCATTTTATATATCGTCATTTCAATTCATGCAGCATGAGCTTTTATACATACATCTCAAATTTGATTTGAAATGTGCACGAAGAGAGACGCTATATATCTATCCGGAATTCTCTCTAAACAATTGCAATCTCCTGCAGAAATGTTTGCACAGTGCAATGGAAGGAAGAATTGAAACGCGTCACTGAAAATGTTGATGATGACACATGGAGATATAAAGTGGGCAAATAACTTATTTTCCAAATGGATGCAAAATCAATTGGAAGATCGTGCATCGTGGGCAAAAATCCGCATCCCATTATGTGTCTTTGAAAGTCATGAGAGTTGAATTGTGATCTACTTTCTAATGCGCGGCGGCAGTGGAGACGCCTGGTACCAGGCGCACCAATTGACTCCGTTACGAATTTTAATTTCACTTGGAAATTACGGTCACATTGAGATGAAAGTAAACAGTATTAAGAGGTAGAAATACACGCTGATTTTTGCACTGCTCTGCAAGTCAAATAGCAAAAATTTCCATGGGGCTGAGTTGAATTTGCTGGGTGGAAAAGACGTCGGATCAATGAAGAATGGAAATGCGACGATTTTCAGGTGGGAAGAGAGATTGAATTTGAATTTTTTTTTGTCAAAAACGAGCTCATAAAAGTTAAATAAAACCTCCCAGAGATTTTATCAGGGGGAAAATGCACACAGAAGAAAGCGAGACTACACAATTATGTATTTTTGTGATATTCAAAGTGAATTTAGTTCTTCATTCGAAGCTGTATTTTGTATATTAAGTTATTTCTCTTTAAAATATCTTTTCACATGTATTTTCAAAATTCCTTTTTCTATATCAACCCTAGTCAATCGAGAGAAATCTATCTTTATGTGTTGAATGAAGACCAAAGTGGAGGATTGTCAAATAAAATCCAATCTCTGGCCACCCCAAAAATACTCCGTTTGGTAAATATTTGCATCGCTTCGCGACGTTTGTTAATCCCCGAAAGGCCTTTTAATGGCCTCGGAAATAACACATAACATTGATGTTTTATTTGAGCAAATAGCACTGGTGCGCCCTGTCTTTTGTTACTCTCTCTCTGCACTGGGAGACTTCTGTTTTTGGGGGGGCGTCTCACCATGGCAAGATGCTGAATTTAATTCCATCCTCAAGTAGTTGGTTGGGGGGGTGGAAATTTTCCGTCTCAATTGTAGGGATTGAATTCGTCCGATTTTCACCGAAAAGTTGTATTTCTACCCGTTGCAGGTTTACGAATTGGAGCGGCGATTTAAGCAGCAGAAATACCTTTCGGCACCTGAACGAGAACACTTAGCGAGTTTGATTCATTTAACACCAACACAGGTAAGGAAAATATTTACGTGCAATTATTGGCCAAGCGAGTCTCTTCACCCTGTGTCAATTGCACACACAAATGGTGTGTTTGACCTTCATGAAAGGAGAGAAAAATGTCGGGAGAAAAACGCATATTTGCCCCTAAAGTGCATGTCCGTCAAGCGTCTCAGCGAGTAAATATTGGACATGGTGTTCCATACCATATATATCTGTGATATTTGATTGATATTATTCTCGGTGGAAGAGTGTATATATATCGTGTCTCTGTCGTGAAAATCAAACACAAGCATCTCCTCAAATCACTATTGATCATCCTGCTGAAATGACCAACAAAACGTCTGTTGAACGATGGCTAACAAGGCAAATCGACAGTTGGAGCAATTAAGAATGAGTTCAGTGTGATGCCATCCCATTGAGAGATCATCACATTGGAATATGCTGTATAATTTGATCTTGTGACGATCATTCAGTGATTTTAATTGTCCAGCCAGAGAGTCGTTTTCATATGAGGAATTTCAAATATTTCTCAATGACAAACGAACTGGAATTTCAGAGGAAATTCAGCAAGTCATTTTATATAATTCTTCAACCCTCTCACTATCGCACTATATTCAATTTAGAAACCCTAAACTTTTCTAACACACAAATTGAACGATGGTTTTCCAAAATATCAATCACCCAGTTGTGCGATGTGCTGATTAGCACATGAATTCACGTAAGCAATTTCGCAAGAACAAAACGTCTAACCAGATGTTTGAGGACTCTCAAGTATCTGCTGCACGATCAACTGCCATTTGCTCTCCTCTCAATTTTTTGCATCACTCATTGCATTATTTATTTATTTATTATGGTTATTTTTCGATCAGAGGTCGGGTTCTGTTCTGCAGTGGAACATATATAGTTCGTCCCCTCCACAAACCCTCCCTTCAGTCCATGCATGATATAAAAATACTCTCAGCTTTCACCCATTTCATTTCATTTTAATACTTGTTTCGATACTATATGATGTAGTAAAGTCATGGGTGGACAGAATCTTGGCATTACTTCCTGTTTGACTTGTCTCCAATTGACGACAATGACCACAAGAGTAAGAATATCCGACAAGTTAAAGTCACTCCTTCACTTGAGAGATTGAAGATTGCCGTCTTGCGCGCTGACTCTCCAGCTAAAAAAGGGACCAACACGCGAGTCCGTTTAATGAATTTAAAGAGCACACAAATAATAAACATCAATTTAAACTTGATGTAATTCAGACCAAAATTATCGGATGTGAACTTGAATACACTTGAATCGGCCTCTTAAAGTGTCTCAATTGGTGAATTCTTCCGGTCGCTGGACTTTCCATTCAGTCAATACACTCAGAATGAAATTCAGTGACACCGTGAATCAATGGACAGTTGACTTTTGTGGAGACTTCTGAAGCCCACGCGCAGAATCATGATGATTTTCACTTAAGTCTGGCGTCCAATAATTTGATCATACAAGAATAGAAATTTCTACAATTGTCACATCAGAATATAATTGTCTTTTTCATTCAATTAAGTATGGCGAAATAAAACAGAATTGTTGGGCATTTTAATTAAATGACGAAGTTGTTTTTGCATATAATAATGGAAAATCTCTGTCGATGAGATAAAATCCCTTTGTAGGTCAATTGCTGGTGATATTTTTTAATAAATAAAATTTGAATAGGAGAGTATCTGACAGTTGTTGAGAGGGTGTGAGACTGTGGGTGGGAGAGGGCCTGATAGCAATGCATGAAAGTGTCATGAGCAGAATTTCCCATATATGAGAGTCGTTTAGTGGAGAATTGTAATTCAGTGAAAATGTTGTGCTCTGGCACACGATGCAATTTATTTAAGCCCATTCTCGTCACACATATTTTCCAATTATTATTTTTCATACTATTTATTTGTTTATTGTGTGCCAAACACGCGGCCGGCAACTGTCTAAACGGCCAAATTTGCCATCAATGCGAGATTTGTCGCTGAACGGGGGCAAATTTATGATTGTGATGTTGACAGAAGAGATAAACGATTTATAATTTCACACATTAATCCATTGGATAAACTGAAAATGTTTCATTGATAATTTTGGGGTGTGATTTCATCCCTTTGGCATGAGTATTTTTTTGTATATGAAGTCTCAAAAGGATGATCATCACGATTTCCCTGCGGTAACATTTGGTGCGGAAGTTAGAGATTTGTCTGTCACAAGTTTTCTCGCCTCGATGGAAGGGTTGAGAGACCATTGAGATTCCTCAACAAATGTCAGGTACTTTTCTGCCAGAAGAGAAGTGGGGAATGAGAGCAAAAGTGGCGAATAGATAACTACGAAAGATGATTTTTTTTACCGTCGGATTTTACTTTTTTGCTCCAGCACATGAAGAGTCCCTTCCACATGAGTGAAACTTTGAGAATTCTATAAAATATAAATTTGTGAAACCACAATTGTAATTCTCGGCACAATTTTTTTCTTGCAAGTTTGTGGAACATAAAGAAATTACACAATTGAATCAAGTGCCTGAGATTTTCTCCTCTTTTCGACCTTTTTTTCCACGTCTGTGATTAAAAGGTCAAACTTCTAATCCTGTGTCCTACAGAGGATGAAAGGAGAGGAGAAAAAGAAACGAGTCAGTGAGAAAAATTGTGGTGAATTTGAAAGTGATCACTGAGAAATAGTGAAAAGAAGATGACGGCAATTGTTGAAAATCTCAGTAATTCGCTCGCAATATAGAGGTAATTTCGGATTAATCTTATTTGTCCATCGCTCGGGGGATGCGCAATAAAAAATTTGCTGGAGTGCATGAAATTGAAGGGTGGTTTACACAGGGTTTTTATCTGGCACCCTGGCGCGATTGAGGGGTTTACTTTGGGTTTATTTAGTGCATGATTCGATCACCTATTGTTGTGACGGGAGCAAAAACCCAACAATAACATTCACCCTCCGGGCAATTGTCCATTGCCTCTGCTGAGGTGAACTTTTCACCCTCTCTCGAGTCTCGAACTCGCACAAGATTCCATGCATCATTTAATTCATCGTGAAAGAGAGAATTCAGCGCTAGCAAAATGTTTGACTTCGGTATAAACCGACGGGATTCTTCACGCATCAGCGCAGCACCTAAATCACACTATATATAGCGAAATGGAAAGAGAGAGAGAGTGAGAGAGATTTCACGACTTGAGGACTGAATAGTGAGACAACGAGACAAGCCCAGGGAAATGTGCGGTGATAGAGAGCACGCGAGAGCAAATATGAATTTTAGGAGCAAACTGTTTAATTTGGACAAAAATTGTGTACTCAGAGGCCTATAGAGTTGGCGTATTCGGTAGCGATGACCACATTCATTCAAATATTTTTGATTGACAAACATCGTCATTCAATCAATGAATTGTTCACTCTGGCTAGTGACTAAATAAGGAATCTCAGTGCTTAATTGCTTTTCCTTCTGCCATCTACATATGCGTGGTCTTTTATTTTCAGGTAAAGATATGGTTCCAGAATCACAGGTACAAGTGCAAGAGACAGGCGAAGGAGAAAGCCATGGCAGAGCAGAATCAGCATAATCAGGTGAATAATCACAAGGGATACGCAAGAGATTGAGGATAGGGAAGAGACGGAACTTCTTTATTCTTTCCAGTCCGCAAGTTCGCCTCGACGAGTTGCTGTTCCCGTGCTAGTGAAGGATGGAAAACCCTGCTCTGGGAACTCGAACAACAACCAGCAACAGCAGCAGCAGCAACAGCAGGTGGCGGGCGGCAACACGACGGTCTCGAGCGGTAGCAACCTGGTGACAGGTGAGACTGCGAACGCCCACTCTCCAGACACCTCAGCCGCCCTGCTGAGCACCTACAACGGCGCCCAGCACGCCCAAATGCTGCAGCAGCCCTGCAACAACGCGCTCATGTCCAACAGCCTCGCGATGGCGTACCGCAACCAGAACAACTTCATGAGCAACAGCCACCAGCAGCAGTGCAGCAGCTATCTGCCGCTGCAGGGGCGCGCCTGGTAATAGTGAGTCCCCCGACGGCCCGCAGTCGCCGACCCGGAAGTGGGCGGTGAAGTAGGAAATAGATAGTGAGAGAGAGAGTGAGAGAGAGAGAGATAAGAAAGTGTCTAAACAACCTTAGCTGAGAGAGAATGATATATAGTGCGAGTGCTTAGAGACATACTTTGCAGAGTGAATTTTCCTTCCTCAAATTGCTCTCCCAACAGAATCCGTTTGGGGAAATTTTGAATCTCATCATGAAAAAAAATTTGAATCATTCAAGAAAAAGGACATTTTTTTGAAAGAAAATAAGCGGCAATAATCAAATATTTACCCCAGAGTGAATTGAGAAAACAATCTCTTCCAAGGTCATCGAGGAATTTTGTGTCGTGACCACACAAAATTGTGATGGAATTTCCGAGAAGAAATCTCGAGGACTTCTTCAAAAATCAAACGGAAAGTTGTGAATGTCTCAAATTTCAGTGGAGGAAATAAAGGATCCAGGCACTTGTGTGGTCATCTCACTCCTCTTACCCTTCATCTGAGCGCAAAGGGACGACAAGAAGTGGAGAAGAAGAGGAATTGACCAGTTTGACTTTCTACCTTTGTCGCATGGAATTTCCTTGTGGGAAAATAGACATTTAGCAAATGACAGACGCTAAAGAGGCAGCAAAAGAGTCAGGATTTAAGGCATATCCCCAATGATTTCCTATTTACATTCCTCCATGCTGGTTTGAAGGGATTTTCCTCACCATTGACGTACTTAAAAGGCTTTTAAAATTATCTTGTTGTGTACACAAGAGATAAATCTCTACTATTCTCCCATGCACCACACACAGAGAATCCTTCAGGCTCTTTGTCCGTCTGTTCACCCAGCAAATTTGCCTCTCTTTCAGCTGTTTTTTTTAATATATATATATACTTCTCCTGTTCAGCACTAATTTCGCAATTTTCTTGTGGTTTCTTTGGAGACTGAAAAAACACAGAATTCAAAAAAAGTATATTATGAGATGAAATGTACAGAGTACAAAGAGTGAAAGGCATCATAGTAGACTTCTTTAGCGAAATGAAATGAATTGACAGGTATACATTTTGAAAGGAATAATTAAATAGAGAGAATAGAGAAAAAATCCGTATAGTTATAGGGCAAAAAGAATATAAGAACAGGTGTGATTTGAGGAGGAAACCATTGAGATAGAAATTCACGTGAAACACATACATCGAGATTGCAATAAAATTAAGGTAAATTGAATTTTAGGATGTTTCTGTTTCCACCAAAAAGGTTTTGCAAAAATTATTCGCTGCTTGAATTATTGCTAAAATTGCATCGGAAATTTTGTATTGATAAAGCAGCTTCTTACAATTTAACAACACATTAATGATCCTTACATGAAATATCTTTCCATCAAATACTCATGGTTGCAGTGTTAAGTTGCAAAGATTGAAGACAGGAGAAAAAAAAGAGAAGGCAAAAGTACCTTTATTGAGCACTTTTAATTTTCTCCAATTAATTCGAAATTAGTTGAGATGATATTGAAAGCAGAAGAATTATCTGTAAATAGTGTAATTAACTCAAATGACCCTAAGTAAGTATTCCACTCGATAGGCATTTTAAAACTAATAATGTAATTATTAGTGAGAGTATTGTAAGAATAAATTTTCAGTGTATCATATAAAGTGGAGAAATATTTTAAGAATTGAGCAGGGTATTAATAGGTTAAAGAGTTCTTTCAGCAGTGTACTTTGGGAATGAGTTTGAGAGGCCAATTGGACAGAGCCTTCAGCACTTGAATGTCTTCAAGGAGATTGAGTTAAAAAAAAATAAATACCATGAAAGAAAGTTGTGTGACGTGATAAATGATTTAATTGAACAATTTAATTTCAACCAGCATTTTTCACTCCAAAATCATGGATTTCCCCCTCTCGTAATGTAAAAGCAACATTATAATCTGTAAATACCGTGTTAAAGAAGGAAGTTGGTAACAGAATTGAACGCAGAAAAATGCATCTCAATATTACAATGATATAAAATGAATTTAAAAGGAATAATAAAAAAAATTAGTTTACTTATAATGAATTGTACTACAATTGGTGTATTTTACAGCAAAAAAAAACAGAAAATGAGGAAAAAAGTGAATAAATAGCAAATAATGATCGCATCGTCTCTTATCTGACATCGTTCCCTGGTCGATATACAAAAAAAAACTCTTCTTCACCCACATAATAAATAAATAGGTGCTGAGTTAAAAAATATGAACTGGGTTGGAAATAGTTGGGACAAAAGGGCCACTTGAACTGCGCCAGACGTACAATTCTGTCGTGGTTGCGGACGGAAAAATGACGAAGGGCGCACACAAGAAGGGGTTCGATTGAGTTGTTCACCCTCCCTTTTGGGTTCTATTGTATGATTATTTTCTCACTCTCTCTCCACAGCGTGTTTACTTTAAATTCATATTCCCTCAAGAAGTCCCTCTCACGTGATAAATTTCTTCTGCTTGCCTCCAATTTTCTTGCTGGTGAACTCTAAATATTTATTGCATTAAGCACATCGCGAGATCCACCCCTTTTCTCGCAGACTCCCCAGAGGGTGGATTTACATTTACTCATTGGATGTTAAACTTGTGAAATTGTGCAATTTCAAGTCAATCCGGCGAAAAGAAATGCATCGAAAATCATTTTGCCCATCACAAAAAGATTCCTCAATCTCAATTGTCATGCTCATGTCAATCAACGTGTCTCAAATGAGCACTAATTAAAATTGCAGTGTGTCATTCTGAGAAAGGATTCCCATGGCATCTCACTGGCCATTCAGCCTCTATTTAGCCACAATTTCACATTCATGACAAGGCTCAAGAGCTCAGCGAGATGGACCTCATTGTTATTCCAAGTCGTCCGCAGATCTCTCGCGCGTCAGAGCCGATAAAGGTTCAGGTGTTTGGATAAAGTATTTAGTGGGATTGAAGAAAAATATTGAGTGCGGAGGTGTCCGCAATTCATGTGGTTCATCACAGTGAAGAAAGTCAGAGGAAAAGAAAAACAGATGAAGATGCACAAATGCAGTTTCTCTCTCTTCGCATAAATTTCTCAAAAGGCGAAAGCCATGAGAGAGGGACAGAACAAAAAGTTAACTGACGAGAGAAAATATGAAAGAAAAACACACGATATTCAACAAAAGAATGGACGATGCGAAGAAAAGTTCTGGGCATTTGAAATAACATATGGAAAGTGCGTTGTAAAAATTTGGGAATGTTTCTTCACCAAACATTTAACATTTCTGTATAAAAATCGTCCATGGATTTATCTCAATTTTTGCCTCCTCATCCGAAAATGTTATTTCTGTGCAACAATACAAGCTTTTGTCGCTGCGAAGTGAATATGAATTTTTAAAAATCAAATGCATAAGAAATTTGTAATGCTTGAAAAATCAAACTGATTTGGCTTCAACTCAGTATCACCACATCTTCCCTACTCTAATTGCAAACTAATAGGAGTAATAGCAATAACCTCATCTTCCTGTGTTGGCTTGGGAAGGTGACGAGGAAGATGTTTGATAGACTGAATTTAATCCGGCGCGGCGCTCATCGTACGTGACTCAACAATTGAAATGCAATTTCCAGGGAGGAAACATCCTCCATCCACTTCCTCACCACTCCTGCCACAGATTCCTTCTACCAGTCTGCCCCCATTGTCAGCCTCGGGCTCTCGCTCCGGGTTCAGTTGTCGCTCTTTGTTGTCTTGTGTGTTGATTTGCGATAAATTGGGGGATTTAAGTGACTCCTGCCGCCAGACAATTAAGAAGAGAACATGCAACGCTCATACTTTTGCCAATCCTTGAGTCAATTTGCCTTTTGGGACTCCGATTTCGCCTTCCTGCCACACATTGTTCACCGCCTCAATGCCTACAACCCTTGAACATATATTTTAATTGCGATGTTCTGCCTCCAATTAAATCCACGGATATTTTTTTGCAATTTTTCCTTCACGCTTGATATGCAAACCTTCTGAATCCATTTCACCGTCTCACTCTCTCTGCCTTTGTGTGCAATGTCACAGGCCAGGAGGTGAAGAAGGGAGGAATTTTCAGTGAATCTATCATTGCGGTGTATTTCTCTGTATTTGACATATTAAACTGACCATCAGGACACATTCATTCCACCTCACACCGTCAGGACACCCAATTTTCCTTTCATCGCATCAACAAACAAGCATTTTCCATTTCAGGGGTGACCCAATGTTGGTTGAAGCAAATTTCACAGTTAAATTGAATTTATCTAACACCAAAAGGGGGCTGAATTTCCTCTCACTGCTTTTGTGCAAATTTTCTCCATTTGTATGGAAATTGACACCGAGAGAAAATCATTCAGCATATATTGTAGAATTTGACCGAGATCGAAAATTTGCTAGCGTTAATTCAATTCAACAGATCAAACCCGTTGTTCAAAAGCTGCACAAGGACTCGTATTTCTCTGGCCAAGGAGACAAGCTACTGGACGGTGGGTTGAGACAAATTGCTGGCAAATTGATTTTCCCATTCGTTCGGTGGATCTCCTCGAAAGGCCATTGAGCATCACGGGTGGTCCGTCGCTAAAGAGGCGAGCACACCGTCAATTGTCTGACTCGACACATTGTAATAATTCCTCTCGCCCGTCAAATGCTTCCACTCGACGCCAAAGAGCCACGGACACTGCCAACAAAAAGGCCTCAATGGAGATGCTGCCACAGCCTCGAGATTGAGATAATTTCGACACATCTTAATCGACTACACATCGGAGGAATTTGTCGTGATCACGTCCATGGAGATCACTGAAATGTCAGGAATCAATGAAAGCAACGGTGATCGTGCTTAGAAATAAAAAAGATCACGTAAATTCAAATATTTGAATAAGAAAAACATGTCAAAATAAACACAGAATTTCTCGATTGAAAAATATTTATTTCACGTGTTTTCTCAACGTGTTTTATGCAAATTTTTCTTCCCACTTGAGCATTTTTCTATTGGGCATTTTTGTGCATTTGGAGAAGAAGACAGTTGGTTGGGCTGAAAATTCCCCAAATCACTGACTTGAGTGGACATGAGAAATGCTAATGAGTATGTAATTTCCACCCAGGGAAGCAAATGGGGTTATGAAAAGATCATCCAAACCTCAAATTAACACATCATCACTCTTTAAGTCTTTTAGTGTCAACGAAAGGGTTTGAAGTTTCTCCAAATGCAAATAACACACATTGAAATGTGCCAAAAGAAAACCGCGATAAATTCACCAAATCACAATTCCTCTAATTGTCTCACTGATTTTCCCACAATCTCGGACTCTAATGAGAAAAATTATATGATTGTAATACGCATTTGACGGTTAATCTTCCAATGATTTCCTTCAGAGTCACTGGACTCGATAAACAATCTCTCAAAATGAAAATATAAGCTGCATTTTACACGTGCGCAACACACGTGTACAACAGGTTAAGCTGGGTGATTAAAATAACGAGGATTAGACACAGACTTCAGCTCGAATGCTGGGTGTGAGGGATAAATCGCATTGGTGAGATTCCTCGTGAAATTCATTACTGCGGCCAAGCGACACCCTCGGCATCGCCAAAGGGTTCCCAGAATCCCACTCTCGGTTCGCTGAAGGTACTTCAATTGGCATCAATATGAGGATTATTCCGCTGCAATTTGCTACAGTCGGAATTATTGCCATGGGTGCCAAAGAGCCACCCCACGATTCGCCTCATTTCCACCCCCCATTCACCTGCCCATTCGTCACGCGATGGCATCTCGGCCAGCCAGGTGAGAGATGTCCATCTCAATTTGTGGATGGTGCTCGTGTGGAAGGCAAACAAAAGGGCCACCCATTGATCGCCAATACGGAGAATTTCTAGCATCCGCGTGACTTGCACAAAAGCCCGCCCAAAAGAAATTCCTCAGTAAACGCTTCACGTGAATGCTCAGCGATTTGAAATTTGACTGACACGCGAGAAGCGCATAAATTCCCTGTGCAATGAAATTCAATATTGCAGAATGTTTTGTGCTGCAAATGATCCACATTATTTGACCGAAAAAAAACGAACCACAATTGTCAATTCAGTGGGCGTGATATGATCCATCATACTTCCCATATTTTTTTTCGTGCCTTCAGGGCCAAAACCAGCGAAATTTGTAATCCACTTTTCAAGTGATTGAGGCACGTGTTGTAATTCAATATGCGATATTTACTCCCACACAACTGAGGATTCTCACGTTTCATGCTGAATGTGTGGCGCAAATGGATTGTCTTTCCCAAAATCAAATCTTGTGGATGTTTTCGCTTATCGTCCGCGGCTCATCGCGATGGCGTCCGGAGGCCACACGCAGAGAGACAAGCACAAAATGGCCCTCTGAGAGAGAAAAGGAATTTATTCAAACGAATTAGTATTGGCTACAATGTACATAAAACGCCACGCATGCGCCCAATTTCACTTCTGGGAGGTGAGATGACTCTCTGGGTGGCTCATGGGTGGATTATCACTGAGCACATGGGATATATTTTAATAAAATTCACTCCCAATTTTCGCAACTTGTCCTCTCGTCACCCGGTCAACCCCACATTTTGTAATTACGGGGACAAGCAGAGGACTAAGCGAAATATGTGAAAAGTTTATTGGCAAAGAATGAGACTGTTTTATTGCAACGCTAAATTCAAGTTTCAAAATGAAATTATTTAAGTATTTATTGCAATCTTCGAATGTTTCAATCCCACTTGATGCCAAATCTTTCCTTTATAACCTGCCCAAGAGATTTCCTGTGAATTTCAGCATGACTTGACGAATGCACAAGTTTCACCCTCGATAAATCAACGCCCATTCACCAGCAATTAATGAGCGATTTTTGTATGAAAAATTTGTGGATTTTTGACTTGATATCCACGGTTTTGTGATTAAAACGCGCAATGCTTGTTACATATACCCCCAGAGTTGTCAACACGAAACTCTCTCAACCCTTGCACGGGTGAAAAGTTAATTTCGTCTTAATGAGAAATGTTGAATTAAATTTTCCACATGAGAACCATCCCTGTGTTTCATCCCCCAAAACAAAGAAAAACGCAGGGAGGGTGAGAAGAAGTGGAAAATTCAACCCCAACCACTTTCCACTTGACCGCATTGATCAATTATCGAGCATCACAGCAAGGCGATCACCCTGCGGGCACTTCCAGGTGACTCTCTCTGTCACAGCATTTCTTCGCCATTTGATTGCAAATTATCAACACTTGATTGCTTCGGGTGGGATTGCACGGCACATCGCCACAGGGCATTTCTCGGCGAATCCCTGGAGACGCCAGGCAGCACTTGAACAGCACTCACAGACTCTCTGCATCGCGATGCGTGAGAATGGCCCACAGATTCCGCCGCGGCTGGCAAGAGGTCATGAGAATTTCGGCAAGAATCGCCACAGGAGGCTCTTGAGGGTGAGTGAAAAGGGCGCGGAAATCGATTGAAATCATCTGGGGAAAAAATGTCCTGGCGTTGCCATGGAGCAGAATCCCCGAAAAGGAGCATAGCTGGGGGGGAAGGGGGGGAATTTGGGCATGCCGCAATGCATTTCCCTCCAAATGGTGTGTGAGTGTGTGTGGGATGAGTTGGTATGTTCAATTAGGGAGGTGAATTCATGAAATGCGTCAATATAATATGATTAAATGCTGCATAATATGAAACAATATACCAGGATTTTCAATTTAATTCCATTTTAGAACCTAAATTTGATTTAGTTACCCATGAAAGGCTTTGCAACAAACAATTGTGCAACTAATTAAAGTGTGATAAACTTGAGTTTTGCTCACTGTAAATGTTTATATGCATGAATGAATATTATTCAATTAAATTTTATCAGTGGAGGAAAAAGCTTCATTCAAGCGTGTCTCTCTTTTCTTCTATATTTGGACACAAATTAAGCATCACCAGGGTGAAAAGCTCGTGGAATAAAGGGAATTCCCCGTAAAATCCAATTAAAACCATCTTAATTATGCTGAAGAGATGATCCACGTGAAAACTTGGGTGTCGGAATTTTGGCGCCAAGCCGACTTTGGGTGGCATTGCGTGAGAATTGGGCTTTTTTTTTAAAGGGCGCTCGAGAGGCACAACTTTTCCCATCAAAAGTATCTCAAGGAGGGCCATCAAGGGCCCTCGTAACTCACTTCGAGCCGTCGTCGTCTTCCGTGGAACTCCTGCACACCAATGGAGGTCATATGGGCAGCATTATAGTGCATTGACGACGACAATTGGCGGCACCCTCTGGCGCTGCTGCTGCTGCCGAATTCGAGGACCTCAATCGAGGCCCTTGTGCCACCCCTCGTGACCGCCGATACAGTCCTCCGCAGCCGGATGGAAATTAGTCCACCGCACAGTTAGCAAATCTCCGGAATTGGGAGAGCTGTGGAAATCGCGCACAGACACTTCACGATGCTCTGAAACTCTGTTGAGCACCAAAGTGGGTACTTAGGGATTTTTGCTCGTACCCAGAACAATCGCCGAGAACAATGTGCAAGAAACGCATTTTTATGTTCATTCCGAGTGGCGCACAGAGAGAGAGTCAAAATTCCAACCCGGCGCTGCTCTGTTCATCAAAGTGAAGTGGCAACACAGAGAGCGAAATGGTCGTTAGTACTTGAGATACAAAAATCGATTCTTGCATTAATCAGTAACACATTGAGATCGAGCCGATAAAGAGACGTGCTTTTGTGAATTTCAGAGATTTAACTGGAGTGAAAAAAACAGAACGGAAAAATCTGCATGTGAAAATGCACAGAATTTCGTCCGTTAAAAAAATATACAATGTAAGCTCACGAGAAGCAGCTTAAAAATGTCGACATTATGCATAATGTTATATGTATTTTATTGCACTTGAAGTAATTTTTCAAGAACACCAACATTCATAAAAATTACTTTATTGCAAAATATTCTACAAACTCTCTTCGTTTAACTTACTTTTCAGCTTATATTTCTCACACTATTAAATTAAAAGAGACATAAGAAATTTGGCAGAAAAACCTTTTTCAACAAAAAGGTCTTCAATTTTATTATTTATTTTCCTATGATTTGCTGTAAATTGACGAAAGAATAAATTCTTTTTACAACTTTTACAGTGTTTGACTATTTACAGTCTTTCTAAAGATAAAAATTTATGCAATTTTCTCTACCATGCCAATAAGAAAGATTCATGGTATTTCACTATTTATGCTAACAATTAACTTATGTAACTTCTTGTAAAAAGTAATGCTCAACTGAGCATGATCCTTAAAGAGGTACGAAAAGAATAAAATATGCCATTTGTTTTTTTCTAAGGAAAGTGAAGCGCGCAGTTCTTCCAGTCTTTCCTCGTCCGTGTGAAATTGTGTCCAAAATCAGCTTACCTTCTGCCGTAGTTCTGCTGATAGTTTCCTCGACTGCCGCCACTCTGATGATGTGATTGTGCATTGTATGGGGAGAATCTCGACTGTCGCTGGCCAGATCGATCATCCTGATGCCGTTGCTGAGATTGCCAGGGTTGTTGGGACGAATTTGAGTGGCGATTGTGGCCATAGTTAGATCGCTGCTGCGATTCATAAGGTGCCGATCGATTCTGACGATTGTAGTCTGATCGATAAACTCCGCCATATCGATTGTTATCTGCAGAGACGATATAATCATCAATTATAGACTTTTCACACACAAAAATATCTCATCAGAAAAGAGATCAGAAACATTTGTGAATTTGCACACAAATTGTCACCATAGAACGACTCTCAGAAGGAGAGGCAAAATTGAGGGATTGAATATACAATAATTTTCATCTCCATTGAGAATTTCCCTCGAACGTGCTTGAGTATCGGATTTTCATTCAGGGCGTCGATGTCGTCGTTGTCATTTTCTCTTCCTCCCACACACACACACGCGCGCGCGGAGCTTCATCTTGAGATAACAAGCAACTCTGTCTCTGGAAAATACATTGAGTGTGAGACACGGAGATCCTCCTCCCAAGCGTGAATGTGAAAAGACCCGCCCGCCCGCCCCTTTTCGCCAGTGTGCGGGGGAAAACAGGAGTGAATGAATATAAATTTGAAGTCTCTCATTATTTCAGGAAGGCTGACACATGGTGAAAATGATGAGGAGGATTTAAATGAAGCATTTGCAGTGTGGATCCTTCGCAATGTAGAGACCTTAATAAGGTAGCAATTAGAGGAATAACAATTTGTCAAATAGTCAAGAGATTTCTCATCATTTCACCATTGTTTCACCGCTCATTCTCTCTCTCCACGTCATATTCCAACTAATTTGCAATTCATGGACAACAGAGACGCGTGAATTCTTCTCACCACAATATTACACCCATCTGAGAGAGTCTGAGATTAAAATCTGCCCACACAATATTGTTTATCAGAGAAGCTTTTTCAATACAAAATCCACAAGCGCGACAATAGAAAATAGAGAATATTATCTCCCGAATAATTCCTCATCATTTTCATTCGATCCCCCAGAGCTGATTATGAGGTGCTGAGAGGAAGTGCCGTAACTCCCCCTCATTCTGACACATGACACCCTCAAAAACAGTGTAGATGACGCGTATAATTGGTACACAATAGCATGTCAAAAAATTTTTTCCCCTATTTACAGAGCATCGAGACAAACTATGAGAGCATTTTAGGGACGGAGAATCACCCCTCACACTCCCTCCCTATCCATGGTGATTCAATGGAGGGAGCCGTGAGGTGCTATTTATATTGCAATCACACATTTATTCAACCCAAAATCATCCCCTCAGGGCACAAGGGGCGGTTCAGAGATATTTTCTAATTGCACCAATTTTGCTCCTTTGCCCTCTATTCGCCACCACTTGCCAGGACTATTCGCAAATTGACAAACGACGCTGGAGGTTGGATTGTTGTGACAAAGATCTCACGTGACTATCAATTAATTCTTGAGACAGAGTGTGTGCCTCTTAATGACTTCACGCTGAGACACACTCTTCACTATTCAGTGAAATCAAACTTACTCTGATACGAGCGCTGCTGATAGTCATTCTGATTATAGCGATTGGGCGGTGGATATGATCCATACTGTCCTGATCCCGAACCCCTTTGTCGGTCGTTTGAATAGTGATTCATCGTCCGGTGACCAGATGCCGACAGCGAGGCGGTGGGTAGATTTCTCGTGAAGCCAATCATCGGTCTGTACGGTTGATCGTGTCCCATATTCGCGCCCTTCAGCACTCGTGGCGGTTCCTTCGCGTTTGACAGCTTCTTCGCCGGAAAAATGAAATCCTCCGCATACTCTGGATCTTTGTACTTTACCGTGACAACGGAGTTATCCTGGATGGACTCAAGACCAAGCACGGGTGAGTGAAGTGACCTGAAAAGTGACAAAGAGGGACACAATAAATTAAACTCTTCCATGCAGAAGACAGAGAAAGAAAACTCACCCTCCAATTGTGACTGTATCATCGGACATATAGGCCATTCCCTGCATGCCCTCAATCAGCACAGGAGCCCCCTCCTTGATGTTGTTGCTGTAGATCCCCTTGAGGAGCTTGAATCCTTCATTCGCAGGTCCCACGTACAATCTGTCACATCCCAGTGAATTTCTTCTGCCTGAAATCAAAGCAAAGAAGGATAAGGACTTTGAGAAATAGAATAAAAAGACAAGGGATAAAGTAATTACTTTCTGCCTCTGTGAGTTTTCCGTAGAATGGCTCAAGGGCTTTGTAGAGACGCTTCTCATCGACAAAAGGTAACAAGGCAACACCTTGCCAGGCAAATTTCTTCCCATTCAAGTCAATCTTAAAGTCCTCTGGATAGAAATCAATGATTGTCGACCTCTGAAATGTACAATTCATACGTGAAATTCAAGAATTTCTCCCCCAAGAAACACAATTTAACTCACAGGATCTATCATCAATTCACCCCATGGCTCCGGAATATGCGACTTACTAGCAGCCGGAAAAACTCCCATCAGCTGTTCCAGCGGCTTAAACTGCAAGAAAGTGATTCTTCTTGATACATTAAACAGTATTTAATGGAAAGAAACCTTACCGGCTTCGTTCCTCTCTCAAACTTTGTCGAAAGAGATGAAATATTGATGAAATCCGACGCAAATGGCGCATAATGGTAGGGAAAATACCAGTTCCACGAGGCACAGCCCTGATAGTAGTACTGGAGCACCCAGCAGAGCCCTTTCACGTACTGCTGAGCCACAGAGTAGCGGAAATCCACGTTTTCCGCCACCACATCGAACTTGGATTCGTAGTAGCGATCTTTGAAACCATCCTCCCAGAGTCTCACCTCATCAGCCACTTCCTCCTCTTCCTCCTCCTCCTCCTGCTTACTCTCTTGCGGCTGTTGCTGCTGTTCCTCCATCTGATCGGACTTCCTCTTCATCCCACGACGATTGTCCTCCTGCAGAGCCAGCAAATTACCCATAAAAACCCCTTTTTGGGAAGCAATATTTCGCTCATCTCACCGGAGTTAGCATAGATTCCAGTGGATTGGCCATCATGCGGAATCTGGCCGCTTCCTGACGAGCATTCTGCACAGGACCATGCTGATGTCCTGGTCCAACGGGCTTCGGCTCGAACTGCGAACCGTGCAACATCTTCAATTTCGGTGCCTGTTGTTGCATTCTTCGCTGCTTGTCTCGCATTTTAAACATCTGCTCTTTCTGCTGGCGCGTCTTGAATATCTGATCCTCCATCAAGCCCAGATCTTGCATTATCATCTCCACACGTTGAAGATTCACGTCGCCAGAATCCGTAAGATATCCCTAATGACAATAAAAACTCCTTACAGAGAAGTACAAGCGGAAGGAAAGCCTCCAGAACTCACCCCAGTTTTGTACACACACTTCTTGTAGAGATTCACCAGGCGATCGATGGCTCCCTCGCGGATCTCCAAGCTCGGCAAGTGAGGCAAGAAGTCATTGCCCACGAAAAAGCACATAAAGACCCAATCGTCAATGACACGATCGAAATTGTACTCAAACGGCAAATTGGGCATTTCCAACTCGCGCTCCAAATACTCTCTCAGCACCGGCAGACGCACGAAGATGAACTGCACTTCCTTGGCCACCGGCGGCGGTTCGTTGGACTCACTGCCGTTCAGTCCCTCGCACTTGGACAACTCGTGACCGAACTGCGAGCACACTTCGCACGGACGCTCCTTGTTGGGCAGAAACTCCTCGCGGATGATGGTGAAGTTGGGCTCATGCGTGGCCAGGCCCAGCATGATGAGATCCGCATCGGCGCCGCACAGCACGTGCTGCGTGTTGGGATCGTGATTGGGCTGCGAGCGCTGCCTCCGGATGTAATCCATGATCTTGTGCTCGCCCTCGCCGGGCACATTGGCATCCGACAGGATCACCTTGATCCCCTTCCAGCCCGGATGGTTGTTCATGCGATCGTGCACGTAGTAGTGCAGACACCGGCTGAGACGCTCCATGAACGGCGTGCCCGGCGTGATGCAGTTGGAGTCAAAGTGTTCTCCCTTCTCCTTCTCCGGCGGTAGAACAGCTCCGCGCGTCTTCAGCTCCTCGCGCACCCGCTTAATTTCCGCTGCCTTCTCGGCAGTTTCCTTGGACGCTCGGAAGCGTCTCGAACGCTGCTGATTCATCTTTGCCCGCGGCGCCTTGAACAGACAAACAATACGGTTATGTTCACAAGAAACTCATCTCAGAGTCCCGCTACTCACCACTCCGTCAATGGCCATGTAGAGCAACTTCCTGGGCCGCACGATGGCAAAAAGTCGATCGATGTACTCAAAGATCGCCACCATCATTTCGTCCTCATTCTTGGGCGCCGGCTTGTCTTCCGGATGCGTGCACGGATGAATAATGCCGTTCATGTCCAGGTACAAATTGTCAAATTCTATGCCATTGGGATTGGGAAGCGACGCATCCTCCGGGATATCCTGCCCATCGGCACTCTGAACCTGAAAAACATGCACAATTGCACGGGGAAAGCGTGAATTTTCCAATTTGGGCACCAAAGCAAACATGACAGGAGGCAAACTTACGCGATTCTCCACACACTCGATAATAACGCTTGGATACTTCCGCGAGAGCCATCGAAAGAATGCTGGAACTCCCATTGTATTTCTCCTCGTGTAATTTTGGCGGAAAAGGCTGTGAAATTGATGTTTTTCGCGAAAAACTCGTCAGCGGCTCTATCGTGTGTTTTCACCGCACGCAAACAGACCCTTTCCGGACTTTCGGAACTCTAACGTGAGGACTTTTCTACGTGGGAGTTGTAAAAATACACCATATATTATACGCCATTTTTTGAGCTTAATTATAAAAACTACCCAGTGTTTTTTTTTTAACTATAGCTCACTATATTGAAAGTGAATTGAAGTTTCTGGCTGTAATTTGGCAATAATTGCCGCAATTTCTATTTTATTTACATCGGCAAGAATTTTACTTCGTCGTGTAGCAAAATGACGTGTAAGATATCTACAGCGTGATTTTGACACATCTGCCAAAGGAAAAATATTTTTCTCCGCACAAAAGTCGTCCCTGGGAGTCCCTCTTTTTCTGCGTACTTTCTGGAGCTCTTCTGACCACCTTCGTCGGGCGAAGGGCTATGCTTTGGTGCGCGGTGGCGTCGCCCCAGACAGCCGACATTCCATCGCAGTTGAATTAGTGTGAGAAATCTGGTGGGACTGTGGTGAAAAAAGTATGAGTATCATCGTATCCATAAGTGACTTGGTGACGGCAATTTGTGTGACTCTCCTGCTATCAATTGTGATAGTTCTCGCATGGAAGTCCACCAATGTGCGTGAGGACCACCTGTCTGCCGCGGTGCTAGTGATCGAGAACAGTCGCCGACGCCTGATTGAGCGCATCCACCAGTTCCAGTATCAGCAGCCCCACACTTCTGGTGAGCATCCTTGACCCATTTTTCCCCCGCATTTGCACCCTTTCACGCGCCTCCTGGCGTCCGTCTTGCAGGGCGCAGCACATCGCAGCAGTCCAACCACTCCAGTGCCACTGAGGAGGTAGACTTGGAGAACGACTCCTCGGCACCGGATGACAGTCTGACCAACACGCCGAGTCTGGAGGAGGAGAATCACTTCAACGTACTTGCAGAGCGCCATGAGCGCTTCCTGAGCCAGGCAGAGGAGATCATTGAGAGCCTCGAGGGCCCAGACGAGATAATCCGCGAGATGGACGACATGACTGACGGCATTCGCCACAGACATTGGCGCCAGGACGACTCAGCGCCGCCCGGCCAAGCCTCCGGCGCAGCCGTCGATGTGGCTGGCAACTCTGACGCCACCTCTCGCACCGGCAGCGCCCCCAAGAGTCCCGATCCCAGCGACACGTCCACCATTGACAACTGCACGAACGAGAACAATGAGAACGACATATCAGAGGGTGCCAGAGATGCGGGCGCGGCGTCAGAAGTGCCGCCCAGTGTCGCCATGAGGATCAAGCTCAAGTACTTGGATGATGTGCAGCGCACGGTTCAGGGACGGCCCACGGAGGCGATTGGGGATTTCAAGAGACGCAACTTCAGTGTCGAACTGGCGGCTGACAAACTGGTGCGTTTGGTCTTCAACGGACACGTCCTGCAGCCAGACTCCAAGACGCTCCAGGCGTGCGGTCTCTTCGACAACTGCGTCGTGCACTGTCTCATCCACAAGAAGCCCACCACTCAGCCAGGCGGCACGGACAACGGACAAGCTGCAGAAGTTAATGGTGAGCTAATCCTTGCTAAATCCTCTGCCAGTTCCCCAACAAAGCGCGCATCCCTTAAAGGATTTAGCAGCAGTGAGGGAAAAAGAGAGAGAAAGAGAAACTGATCCAATTACCGTGAAAGCATCGGGATTTGGAGAGAATCAATAGTTCGTCAAGGGGTCAAAAGTGATGGAACAACCATGCAATTGAGTGATTATACAAATCTATTCATTGACCACTGAATGACTTTGGGATAGGATTGCACTGCGCGAGTGGCAGTGGAGCGACGCTCTAGATAGCTTCGGCGCACGCTATTGACCCCTTGACTGTCTCGCTGCATTTCCCAATTGTGTTCACTTTCTGGGCCACACGGCAAAGCTCACACGAAGTGGCGAGCACAAATGTAAATTTCATGGAATACATTTTCACCCATGCCGATATATTTCAGTCAGAGGCGCACACAGAATGTTAGCAAAAGAAGAGGCTCAATTGTTTCGCACAAATACTCATCAATTGCGCTCCAGAGAGTGTAATTTAAGCATATAAACACGTGATGTTTTTCCCCACTTTATCAGTCTCGTGTTTTGTTGGTAACACAAACACACATTTTTTGCGCCTTTTATTTCCTTGAGCACAGAATGAGAGAATTTGACTGCTGATCTTTTTCTTTTTGCCTTTTTTTCGTGCAGAAAATAACACTCCTGGCATCGCACAGCGACCACAGCAACGGAGGAATGACAGACTACGAGACACTGGCTCGAGATTCGTCTCTGCCAGTCTCTTCCTCCTCAATCTGGTCATCGTCCTCTCGTGGTACTGTCGCTATCAGTACGGATCTCTGTTCACCTGGTACTCCACAATTGGCCTCGCTATTATGACTCTGATCATCGTCATCATGCTCCCCGTGATGGTGCTGATCAACCGTGAAGTTCCAGCCGCCACTTAAGTCCCTTTTCTGCGCCTGTTGTCACACTCCTCCTTCCTGTGCATTACACGTGCGTGTGTGTGTGTGTGTCGACGTTTTTAATTTGTCCTCCGCGCCTCACATTTCTGGGCATATATACATATGAAAAAATAGAGAGAAGGAAGAGGAGCAGGAAAAAAAGAAACAAGAATTCAACCCTAAAAGAGAGTAAAATGTTGTGTAAATACATAAAATTAAAAAAATATATATGAATTATAAATTATTCTTTCATTCTCCATCATTGCTATCATCAACACATTCCAAACACACACACAACACAATAATAATGCCGCAAAACTCCTCTCAACAGGTGTGATGAAATATGTTCTCCAATTTAACTATTAGAAATGGCGCGTGGAACTCGATCGCAATTGCACTTTGGGTTGTTTTTTCACTTCCACGCCTGCTTCACTGCCTTCCGCGACGCCAAGTGCTTCACCACATATGACGCCACCGTGAGACCGAGCAGCACGATGGAGATGAGGAAGTAGTCAAAGTCCTCCTTGAGCAGATCGAATGTCTTGGACGGCGCCACGCGTGTCACGAACATGTCCAGGCCGTGCACAATCACCAGACACGTGCTCTCGAGGCCACTGGGCGCCGTGTAGATGCCACGAATGCGCGCAATGGACTGATTGTAGTTGATGACACTCTCGCTGGGCAGCGGCAACTCGGGAATGTACGGGATGACGCCCTCCTCGCGTGCCTGATTCTGCGTGGTGGTGACAGGACGACGTGGATCGAGCAGAGCCCAAGGCATCTCCACAATGGCGCCCGTCGAGAGACCAACTGCAAAAGCAGAGTTTCCAGTGAAATCCACCGATCATTCTGCATCACACAATCTACAATACTCACTCAAAACATCCTTGTTGGTGATTCCCTTCTCCGTGATTGTCTCCTTCATGGCAAATACATTTGCTGGAATTATGTAGGATTGTCTTTCGATCATTGGAATTGGTGGATTACTCAGGGAACTCCAAACGGTGCTATTTGCCTGAATCTTTCCCTCATACAGCTCAATTGTGGCTGAAATACACACAGTTTATCAGTGAAAAAAGTCATTAGAAATCAACAGAAAAACACTCACTAATTTCCGTTCGACGAACTTTGTCATTGTAATACGAGTAAACCAGCCAATTCTCCGAGTGAACCATGTGAAGAGGTCCTCTGGCTCGTCGATGGGTCAAAGTAATCACAATTGATCCCGAAACAACATCAATTAGATGGACATTAATAACGTCTGCATGGGAAAAAACACATCACGCATTATCATCTCTGGATAACGTCTTAAGATCAAATCAATAGGCAAATAACTCACATTTGTGAATACTGTCTAGTCCAAATGTTGCCACAGCCACAAGATTTGGATTCACATATTTATACAGAACAGATCGATCACTTAAAACTCTGCCTTGAGAGTGAACACGTTCGGTGGGATTCTTTCCAGCCACATCGATGACATGAGAATTTGATGCGCCACTCAAATCCACTTTCCAAATGAGTTTTGCTGTGACATCCTAAGAAAACATAATAAAATCCTCAAATTAGAAGTGAATTGATATAAAATAACAACTTTTTCTCACCTTCTTATCAGCCTCAACGTGATATCCTTTAACAATTCCCTCTGTTTTCACCGTGTACAGAAACATTTCATTCGCCTGACTCTTTTCACTGTCCGGCAAAACATGCGCCTTGTCATTTTCATCGAGAATGAGAAGAGCTCGCAAGAAATTCTCCGATTCCACCTCATTCAGCACAGTCATTTGCTGAATGCCATGCGACAGCCTCACAATCCCACCCTGAATAGCTTCACCAGTGACTGGATTGAACTGATACATGATTCCATTCTGCGAATTCCGCTGCTTTCCCACCACAGCATACTGTGCGGGATGCGGAAAGTGCTTGGCTGTGCGCTGAATGATGAGCTTCATGGACTGATTGTCAGTGAAATCCTCAATTTCTGGCAAGAATTTCGTCCAATGAACCTTTCCCGATATATTATCAATGCCATACAGCTTTCCACTTGCCGTGAGAAGAACAATCATTTTGTGCAGCCCAAAGGAATCTCTCACGAGAAGATCAACTCTTGAGGAAGTCGAGAGACTTCCCAAGCCCAAAACAGTTAAGAAGAGATTCTTCACTTGAAACACTTGACTAGTCAAACGTCTGGCAATTGCTCCAAAGAAGTCCCCTGAAAAAGAGACAAGAAAAATTGAGATTATAGACAAGAAAAGCAGAAAAGCATTAGCCCAAGATAAAAAAACTAATAACACTCGATGAAAGTCAAAAAACACCTTAAACAATCCCAATGTTTTGTATGAAATGAGAGTCTCTGAAAGATGAAGGCAATAAACTTAACAAAGTCCAGAGATTTGGGAAATTGGAAAATTAAGGAAATCAACACACAAAGGATAAAAAAACACTCTCGAAGACAGACTTACATTGAACACCATTATCCACTGAGCGAGATAAGGAGAGAAAAGGTGAGATCTTTTGTACAACAGACAAGGAATATCGAAAGGAGAGAAATTTCACTCACCATCTTTGCTGTTGAACTCATCTTCAATCGCTCCTTCGTCATCTGACAGCGGCAAATCCACCATCTCAACAGCCACAACGTGAGACAGAGCTTCTTCGCGTGTCCACTTGACCTTTCCTTGCTGCAAAAGTACAATTGAGTTGTCTTCTGTGTCCAGAAGGATGCGACAAGCGAGTGGCTGTGAATCTGTCTTCCGACGACACTTCACAGCCTTGATTGTGGGTGTTCCCAAGGAGTCAGGCAAAGGAACGGTCATTTCAACATCCCCACGTGACTGTCCAGTAACCAGATCTGTGGCAATTATCTTCAGGTTCTGCAAAAAGGAATGGGGTTCTAAGCAAAAGAGCATTTGTAAGGCGATAAAGTATGAATTTTACCCCTTCTTGCACGACAGATTGCAGGAAAACTTGCTTATTCTCAATCTCAGCCACGTGCCAGTTGGAATTTTCCACCAGATTCACACTGAAGGAGTTTTCCTCCAGAGAAATCAATTCGTTATTGACGAAAATCGCTGCCCGGAGACCAGGCACAGGCATGGGGGCTGCCTGAGCGGATTTGGGCAGAGTTTTCGAGAACAACCGTCCATTGTCCGACACCAGATTCACTCCAATCACTTGATTCTCAATGGCACAGACGATGAAGGGCTGCGCCAGGACGCACTTGTCCTTCTTCAGCCACGCGGCACTGATCTTGGAGCTGCCAGGCTTCATTTGCTGTCCCGTGGCGGCATAGTACTGTGTCACCTCGATGTGAGACTCCCAGAAGGGAATGACGTGGTAAAGCATGAGGTTCTCAGTGAACCAGAGATCCTCCTTGTGTTCAGAATAGTGCGACGTGAGGCTCCATTCCCACATCATGAGCCCCTCTGTGGGATTCCAGCCACGGATGAGGGCCGGACTGTGTCCAGTCACCGTCAGCAGGGTGCTCTGTGGCGGAGCAGATTGCGTGTCCATGTACAGAGCGGCATGCTTGATGTCTCCTCGAGGACTGCGCTCCAGCACTTGCCGCCACACGATGTCCCCCGTCTTGGCACTCAATCCCGCCACCACGCCCTCCTCTGCAGTCACCAGGACCAGATCATTGCCCACGGAATCGAAGAAGCCATCCTGCAGTTTGCCCACGAAACTCCTCCGCCTGCGAGATGACCAGGAAAATTCAATAGTGAGGTTAGATGGTCAAACACCGCAAAATCCCCAGCAGAGCGTCACGCAATCACGTGGAAAACATTACCAGTCGAATTTCCCTATTTGATCCTCGTACAGACAGCAGACGGAAGTCAGCACAGAGAGGAAAAATACACTTTTCAGCAGTAAAACATTTTCTCGCGACATCTTCTGACTGCAAAAAAACCTTTTTTCGGACTGCCACTTTACACGGGTTGCCCGATGGCGCTCCGGAAAGTCGCGAGCAGCTGTTCAAACTCAGACAGTTGGCGGAATTTTCTACACGTAACGTATCATAGGGGAAAATGTCGAATATAAAGTAATGAATAAAAACACGAAGAATGTCTCACTAAATTTTTGTATTTTATCTCATTTTTACGATGTTTAAAAAAAAAATTGCAACTTTTCATTCTCAATCTTGAAGATTTTATCATTTTAATTTACATAATTGGACAGACCTTTGAAACTGTCGTCAATTTTTTTTTCTTTCTTTCACAGTGACTATGAGAAATCTCAGAAACATTTCCAAAAACTTATATACTTTTCCTCCAAAAAATTTTCTCATGTGATTTTCTTGTAGGTAATAGCTTTAATCGAAACAGATCTTTTTTTCTTTGTTTATTCTTTACAGAGGATAAAAGAAAATAAACAATCTTTTGCAGCTCGAGAATTTGCGTCAACACGTGACGAAGGATCCTTTTACACATCTTTTTTTCTCCTTTCTTCGCGACATCCATCAAAATATGTCCATCCAGTGTAATCAGCTCAATGTTACTTTAGGTTTTTTAGTATATCCTCTCTCGCCCTTCAATCAGGCTTCTTCTTCCCACCTCTATACGACATCTACAGTTTTACATTAAAAAAATCTTACACGGTATCCTTAAATTACTTTTTTTTAGAGATGTAAATATGAAGAAAAATAATGGATTTTTGTTTTCTCAAAATAATAATATGAAGTTACATGTGCACATCACGTTTCTATATTAATTGTTAGATTTTTTTTGCAGATGAGTTTTGCATATTTCACATTTTTTGTTGATTTTTTTCTTGCTTTCTTTTTCTTGTCTCTCCAACAAACACACGCACGCTAAATATTTTTTCTTTCTCAATTTCTACCGTTAAATTGTTCTCTCCGAAGGGCGAATTTTTTCGTTAACAATTCTGCTCTCTTTTGCAATGATTTTTCATCTTTTTCTTCTCTTCCTCAAGAATTTCCTTCGAGCTTCGTTTGTCATCAAAAACACGGCTAAATTAATTTTATCCATTTATCATGCCAAAAGAGTTTCTTCTCAAATTGAATTGATTGGATTCTCTCACAAGAAAAAGAAGAGTAAGGCTTATAAAACTAAATTGTGATATTTTTTTAAAAAGATATTTTGTACTTTTTTAATTTTTTTCTTTTTCATTTTCTCTCCTTTTGTGTGTTCCTTGTCCATACTCCTCCTCATCTCCACCCACTGTCTCTCTTTTCGCGCACTCACTGCTGTCTTAGCACTTTTTATCGTCAAAGGAGTACGACAAGATTCCCTTTTTTTCTCTCTCTCTCTCTCTCTATCTCTCTCTTTCTCTTGTAAACACAACACGCACACTTTTTAAACACTTTTGTTCATTTTTTTTTGGAGTTTCATTTTAGTTCCTAACTTAAAAGGGTCGAAGAACTTAATGTAAGATCACTAATTATAAACCAATCGTGCCCATTCTCCATCATCGTCATCCGAACTGAAGCTGCAACTTCTGCAAAGGACAAAGAGAGAGATATAATTAAATAAAGCGACCTTCTTCACAAACACAACTGACACTGCGCACAATTTGATATTATGATAATGCGACAATAAAAATGAATGGTAAGCAAATCTCTCTACTTACTAAGTAGGTTTTCTTTTCTTTTAATGCGCTTTCGCTCCCACCAGCCTCTCTCTTTCTCTCTCTCTCTCTCACTCCAATAAAGCCCCCACCATGCTCGCATGTAAATGGATGTTTGCGCGTGATTTGATGCGTGTCTTTGGCGCGAAAGGGACTCACCGATGACGAGGAAGACTTCGGCTGTTGTTGATAGTTTTGTGCTCATCAATTGTTGGCAGGTGTGAATTGAGTCTGTGAGTAGGTCGCAAGACGCGCATTGTACGTGATGACAACTTCCACACGAGACGCTGACGATATGGCATCTTCTTCTGTGCATTGTATTGCGTCAAAGTGCGCACGACCAGACTGTGACTGCGGAAGAAGCTCGGATCGGGGATCTGCAGAGAGAGAAAACATGCACAAATCAGTCTCTAAACAAAAACTCCCACAAAATCAGTGTTAAAAGACTCACCTTTGCCATCTTCTGCAGCTCAATGGCGAAATCTACAAGACCAGAAATCATGGGATTTGCAGAATTCACGTAGCTATTCACATGAGCATCCATTTGTGTGCACACAAGCACAAGTGCCAATTCAGACGCTCTGACACTCACGCACAGTGCATCACAGATGAGTATCTCAAGACGCAACTCAAGATCCGCCAGCGAGATTGATTTGTCGTAGAAATCGCCCAGGCCGAGATGGAAGGCAGCATTGCGGAACATGTGATAATAGATCCGCACAAACGTGAGCGCCGTCACAGGAATCGTTGACGGCTGAACGCCCAGCTTGTTGGAAATGATCGCCGCCATTCGCTCCAAATCACCAGCCGTGCAGCGACACTGGGATATCGCCACGAGATCCGCAGCATCAATCTTTGCCATATTGAATTGCGTGACACAGAGATAGAGAGAGCCCACACTGATGCATGCCATATGCTTCGGACGGGCTCTCATCCTCGCCAGGAAGCGATCCACCAGATTGAGAGCGGCAAACAGCACATCGGGCGGCAGGTCGTACCACATTTTGAGGCAACGGAGCACATGAGCAGCTCCGTCTCTAGCACCAACAGTGATTTCATTGTCCTGCAAAGAGGCAGAAAAAAAGAAGAGAGGAAATATTATTCAGCGATCTCGTTACCATTTTGCTCCATAATTTAGCACAATTTATACGCCAAAAGACGCGTCGTCAATTTACACAAATTTACAATTTTCCCAAGAGAGAGAGAGAGACAGAAGGAATGGAAAGATTTTGGCATTTAAAAATTTGCCAAAAGTGTTAAATGTCCTTCACACAAAACTGTGTGAAGCGACGCGACAGAAGAAAAGGAGAATGAAAAACAGTGAAAAAAAACACAATTAAAAACCATGGAAGTTGATTTTTTTTTCAAAATAGTGTTTGAATTCATCACTACTTGTTTTACAGTTCTTGTATGTCTTTTTTTTAACTCTGTTTGTGCTCTCTCAACACAATATATTCTTCTCTTAACCTTGAATTGCCACGATTGGAGCCACTCCAAGACTTACGTCACTTTATATATATATATATTTCTCTACCTTCAACCAAATGCCGAGAGAGAGAATGAAAAACAGATAGAAAAACATCATCGCGAGAAATCTCGCTAAATTATTTTGATTCTCTACACACAGCTGAGATTTTTTTTCCACATAATCTCTACATCGCATCAAATGCTAAAGTAACATTTTGCACTTTATCCATATCGCAAAATGCGAGAAAAAAATTAAGCAACTTTTGCATAAAAATTACCCAGTTAATGGCTAAAGTGTGAAGACGAGAGTTTATGAATTTTTCATATCTTGGCTTCAGTTATTAAATTTAATAAAAAAAATGTATGGTTTGCAGAAGTGAAATATACTGTGATGTTTACCAACCGTATTTCTTTAATAAATTGTCGTAATGTGGGTCAATATCATAATGTTGCGATAATCTTGTAATTTATTTATTTTCTTCCCTTGTTCGTGAACCAGAATTTTGCTATGTCAACATAGAGAGAGAAAAAATATACTTAGTAATTTACCAGCCAAAAAAATACGGGTAAAGTTAATTTTTATCTTCTTTCAGCCACTCTTTGCCTTGACAAAGGTAAAGTATTTCATTTTTTTTCTTCATCTACCAAATATTTGTTCACTTGCAAGTAAACTGAATATTGAGAACAACTTACAATTGTAAGCAATAAATTGTTTATCTTTGATAAAATTCAACTTATAATAATCATATTGTCTGTGGAATTGAATGCGAGAAATGGCAAAAGATGCACACATTCTCTGTCGCTATTCATTTTAACCAGCTACTCAGAATGAAAAGGAAATGCCCAGAGACAGTGATATATACATTTTATGTAAATTGACATCTTCACGAATAATTTCAAAGTTTAATTCTCCCATCATGAATTAGCATAAATCAAGTGAATAAACATGCAACATTGCTTGCTTATCTGGTTGAATAAAATTTGCCTGTAGTGAAGCTTGCAGCAAGAGATTCTAATCAATGTGCCATCATATCATTTAAATACGCAATTCTTCATGTGTCGCAAAAACACACACAAAAGATAAAACAGAAGAAAAGAAAGGCCGTGGAAAATCACAGAATATGCACTTGCTTGACCTCTAGGAATATCTTCCCTGAAGGAGGTAAAGTCTTATCTCCCCTTCAACACCTTCTGTCTTTGCCTGCAACGCAACAATTCCCCTTCATTTTTATTTTATCTTATTCTCATTGTCTGTCTAACATTCTCTCTAATGTCTTTTGTATCTTTCATCGCGTGATCACGAAATACGCACAACAGAGTCGCATTTTTTCTCCTCCTTCACCACCTTATATAGTGATAAATGTGCAATGCAATTCGCACTGTGTGAATTTTCCCTCTCATCAAGCCCACTCAATTGAAACATTCTCTCTTTTAGCCACACAACAACTATTCAAGGGACGGCTCTCATGAAACAATTGCCGCTAATTTGCTAGATAAATTTGGTCTTGCAGAGCCATTGCATAACGTGAATATCATTTACGTCACTCCAGAGTGAACTGACTCTCTGGATATTCAGCAATCATCTCTCTCTCTCCACTCAACTGAACTGAACAACAAAGAGACTTTCGGTCTTCAATAGAGCCCCCATATTATCAATTTACTTTTATCACATTTTAATTGTGAACTCTCTCGACATGGAGACAAGCTACAGAACAGGATGGACTTTTACTGTCTTGGGGAAAATGACTAAAATAAAATAAATTTGATGTAGATGCATAAACTCACCTCAGGATCCGGTGGAAGGTAGAGATTCGCATGGAATTTCTCCTCGAGCGCCAGAGCTTCCTCGAGTTTCGGATAGAGTTGTTCATTTCTCAAGTTGCCCAATGTGCTACTCTGCAGATGATAGTTGATCACATTGTTCTCCATGTACTGATAGCAAAGATTGCCATTCTCGCCCATGAAGGCGTTGCCATTGCCGTTGTTATTACTGCCAGTGTAGTCCATTGCCGTTGCGCCATCCAGTTCATTAGACAATGATGCACGTGAGGTCGATGGCTGAATGGACGACGATGGAGAGGATGAATTGTTGATCCCTTGATGCGGTGGTGATGATGTCATCATTCTTTGCGGCATTGCAGACGATTGTTGATGTTGTTGACGACGCTTAACAGCAGCATCCGGAGTCCCAAGCCGGCCCCCCGTTGACGATGAAATCCTCTGGGTTCCACGCTTCGGTGTTGCCGCCATCATCATTGCATCCACTGACACTGTCTCGGGCGCCATTGTCATCATCGCCGATGCCGACGGTGGTGGAGATTGAGGTGGTGTCGTCGACATCATCTCCTCATCACCGGCATGTCTAGCAGAGCTCATCTCTCTGCTGCTGTCAGTGACGACAATGACAGGGGCCACGGAACACTGTACAGGGGCAGACATTCTGAGGGCTGGCCTAGTACCTAGGTAACACCACAAAACAACGATTGCCAAAATCAATTCCAATGGGTTTCTAGGTACCGAACACTTATTCTTCTATCAATGCGCGCTCACTTTTCGCCTCTCCTCAGTTTCCCAAGGAAGACACAGCAAAAAAAGAGTCACAGAGAATAAGATGAGAGCCACTTGAATTTCCAAGTGAAAGAAAATCAGACAGTTTGCACCTCAAGAAAGACTTCTTGCCAAATATATTTGCCGGGCACACACTGGTTGATGCACACTCAACCTTCGTACCTTTATGACTGAGCAATAGACAATCCCAGGATTGTAACACTGCCCAAGAATACCAACTGTTAGTAACAGTATAGAGACAATGGCTAATGGAAAACTTTTCTCAAATACCAACTTTCAGATGTCTGAAAGGAAATTCCCAAAAAGTCGGTCATTAGTCAACTTTGTATAACTAGATTTTAATAGGAGGATTTTACAAGGAATTCAAGGGTGTTCAGGATTTGGGATTCTCTGGAAAAATGAAAGATTATATAAACGATTATCTTCAATTATATACTTCAACAATTTAACCCAATTTTCCTTTCGCTTCCCAATAACCATTTAAATGCCTCTCACTCTCTTCTTATCAGCTTTTCCCGTCGTCACTTTGTGAACTCTTTCTTTCCTTTTCCCGTCACTCATTTTTCCTCTCTTTCGCCCCTTTTTTTCATTACAACATTCTCTCTATCACGAAGTCAAAAGTAAATAACCCCGCGAACAACACTAAATGATCTCGTGTAAATTTAACTCGACCGTTAAACTGTACTTCAGCAAGGCAGAATTATCGTTAGGAAATACTGAAAACAACCACAATAAACACGAAGAAAAATGGTAGAAATAGTTTTTTTTTTGCCACTTCTCAAGTAGACTTTTAAACTGCCATTCGTCTTTTATGGTGTGTTTGAATGTTATATCAAAAGATCATTCACCATCTATAATCCGATATATTATTATTGTTATTTCATTGATAAGCAGCTCAGGAAAAGATGTGTTGTTTTCGATGATTACGGGATTATACGTGCGGGAAAACAATTGATAAGAATCATCCGAGAGAATCACCTCTTTTGGTTCTTTGCACTCATGATTGGCCTTCAAATATCTTATCGTAACCAAAAAAATACGAGACACACCATAAAAGTGACATCTTTCAGTGCTGGACGAAAAGTTTTTCGCCAATTTCATTAACCTTGCGGCAAAATACAGTAAGAAAATATGTTGATAAGACTTCCGATATTCCTTCACAGACACACTTTTGCCCATTTGTCTCGTGTGTTTTCTGCCATAATCACTTTGACGCGCGATTTAACGCGAGAGATTGCATGAATTGCGCACAATATTGCGTCTCGCGAATTGAATGGAAAAATTGACAAACACGCAAAAATTATACGACTAATTTCTACTCATAATAATATGATCGATCGAATGTTTATTTTTTTTTTTCAGGGAAATCTCACAATTTTTTTTCTCTCTCCTCTTTCACCAACTCTTTCACTTGACAATGATTTGTGAAAATTACTGGACCAAAAAACCCCTCACTATGCGAAAATTTCGCAAAGAAGGTCTTTCGTGATGCAATTTTTTTTCTTTCTTTTTTGCGAGAGCAAGTAAAAGATGTAATGAAAAAAAATCTATATAGATAAGCAGTCTATTTCGTGACTCTGAGATATTTATTAAAGCTCTGAAATTGCAAGAAATTCTCCCCTGAAAAATCACTTTAATTACATTCTAGTTTCTAACAATCTAAAGACCAAAAAAAAGGTGCCACGAAAGCCAAACAAAATTCTTCCTCTCCTCGAGGATCATTAATTCTGCGCCACTCTAATTCATTTTGTTGACTCTTTTTTTTTTGGTGGAAGTCTTTGTCACACTTTTACTGTTAAATTTCCAGTGATTTCTTGGTGTGTTGCCTTCACGAATTAATCGACCACAACAATATTCTTCTCCATCTCACTCTTCACCAAATCTTTCTAGCCATATTATATTAAATGTACGATTTAGGAGTCAAATTTTAAGAGACATGAATAAATAAAATCCACCGCGACTCTCTTCACTTCTTTTCTCGCTTTGACGGGGTCAAAAACTCCTCCTGCGCAAAACTGGAATCACCAAAAAATGCCTCATTTCTTTGTTCACCATCATCAAAAACTCCAAAACTCTCTTCTGCGCTCTTTGTGTCGTGTTTGCATATGATTTTTTCTCCAGTCACATTTGACTCTCGGGTGTATTTTAGAAAATAGAGATTTTTATCCAACAAAATACAACTCTTTTCAGCACAGTTATTTTTATCACACCACAGTTTGCTCAAGACTTTTCACTTGAAGTCGGATCTGAGGAAGGAATTGAACTTTTTTCTCTCTCACTATATTTACTCAGATTGATAAGAAAAGTCTTGTAAAAGCTGATGAAGATTTGTAGAAAAATTCTAATGCTCACAGAGAAATCGTGTGTACATTAAACCCAGGCTTTTTATCATCAGGGAAATGATTGAAATATTGGTGTGATAAACTCTGTTATAACATAATGATGTCATTGCTGACAAAACCTTCACCGCTTTTCCTGTCTTTTCCCCATGAACCACTCGCAAAATATCCACCGAAAACTGGACGATAAGTTGTCTTTGAACACACAAATTTTTCTCTCTTGTGCAATCAAATGTTATTGTGTTTACAACTCATTTTGAATATTGCATCATATGAAAATTGCATGTGCAAACTTTATATCAACATTTTTGGACTACTTATTATTCATGTGCTGCAGTTTGATTTGATTTTCTGTGCTTTTGTGAGCAACTTTACAAGTATATTTATGATTTTTACTGCTCTCAAGAGCAGTAAAAATGCCTCAGAATGAAAATAGAAGGAATTTGTCAGGCATTCTTTTTTTTGGGTAATTGACAGACAAATTAGCGAAATGATGTCAATTTCTGGTCACTTTTCTGATCATCTCACTTTGTGACCTTCCATTGGGAGTCTCGTGAAAGCCACAAAAGTCCCTCAATTGCCTCAAAAGACGCGTGAATTATCTCTGATAGGAGGTCGAGCGATTGCCACAAATGGAAATCCGAACGAATTGAGCGAGAAATATTGAGAAATTCCGCTGCGAGTCACTGACAAGATAGGATTTGTCGGTGACAAGCACTGAACACGAATAGACTTGTTTGGGAATTTTCTAGAATTCCCGAAAGCACTTTGCCTGCAATTTATGCCTGGGCGCCCAGGAAGCCGATGATTCACTCCAGGGTAATTGAGTTCACCCTCCCGTGCTGGGCGGAAAAGGGTGTCAAGGTAATTTCTACCTGGGCAAAGGGACACCCTCAAAAGAGAACAAAGGGCACGGATTTCAGCCAGGCAGATGTGCACAAGAGTCCGCGATTGCCATTCCGCGGATGCGTGGATGGGCTTTGCCACCAAATGAGGCATCTCTTGGTGATGATGGAAGCCATAAAGTCGAATGAGAACACCCAGTAATCCAAATAAAGAAAGCCAATGGTGAAAATGGCGTCTCTCCACTCAAAAAGTTCCCCAACACAATAAACATTTGATTTTCAGGCTGATCGACTGAAATTTCGACATTTTTTCACCTACCCGGATGCTTCCGCAGTGTTCACTCTCACTATTTATTCACTCAATGCGATTTTACTGGAAATTTTCCCGAGAAAATTTAAGGGAATTTCCTCTTCTTTGTTCCACTAGCACTTCATTTGTCTCCGTCTGATGCAATAATGCCACCACTGTGAAATTTACCACCGCTTCATGCCCACACACCCATTCAAATCTGCCGTTTTTACACCGTTCGCGCACATTTCAACTTCAATGCAGTCGAGTCGCGAAGGAAAATTCACAGTGATTCTGTACCATTATTATCACAAGAACCGACGATTAATTAATTTCTTACAACAATACACCAGAATTCTCAGAATTATGCAGATAGTGGAAGTATTTGCAGCAGAACCGCAAAAGAATTTAGCAGTGTGGTGAAATTCGTGTAAAAACCTCAGCGTGGTCTGCGACATCAGCA